TACTAGGAGCAAAGGGCATCGCTACTAGGAGCAAGGACGCTACTAGGAGCAAAGGGCATCGCTACTAGGAGCAAGGACGCTACTAGGGGCTCCTGGCATTGCTACTAGCAAGAAGCTACTAGGAGCAAGGACGCTACTAGGGGTTCTCATTGATTCTTCAGCCCTTTACTGCCGTCCACTGGGAGACCCACAGCTCCAAACCCGCCATTGGTGCCTTGCTTCCGCAGCAGCAGCTCCGGTGGTGGTGGCCAAGTGGGCCACACTGCTACAGCCTGCGGTGTAGTTGGGACCATCCAGGATGCCCAGCAGTTGCAGTGTTCAAAGGTCGTTCAGTCCTAGGCTGCTAGTCCTCGTCTTAAAATATATCTTTGAACTGGGCAAGGTTGCTAGTTCAACTGCAATGGATGTCTACCACAGACTAGGGTTGCAAGTTTACACAGTTTTGGGGCAGCGACTCAATGTGTGCGTGTGTGTGCGTCGCCCCTTTTCCAAAGGCCACATGCAGCGGTCAGAACTAGGTGCTTTCAAGGCGACGACTGGGAGATGCGTAGCTTGTGAGGCATCACCATACTAAAGCTTGGCCATGGCGCCAGGGACAGCATAGACGTAAATTGGTAGACCGGGTCACCCATCGAGAACAGCATTTTCAGAGGCTCATTCCAGCTCTTTCAAAAACAGCCACCAACCGTGTTGACTTTGTGAAGAATCATACGGTAGTGGACCACTGAATGTGCCGCACCAATCGGAAACTCCGTGCGAACAGTGTCAGCGTTGTCCTTGGCCAACTTGGCCCTGCCATCCTTTGCATTCGTTGGCCAATATGTTCTGCAGGATTCGGGTGCACAATTGAGCACCACCTCTGCTGAAACAGTTGGCGATCAAAGAGAACATCTACCTGGCTGGCTTACCAAGTGCATACCATCCCATCCTCGCCAATATGGTGGGCTTGCTAGTGTTCTTCTAATTGCTCATCATGAGCAGGGGACACATACAACATCCACCTCTTTGGAGTAGCCCTTCATGATGCTTCACAAGCCAAAGCCCACCAAATATTCATCAGGGACCCTCTGATCTCCCTGATTCAAGGCTCCTCAGGATGCTACTGAATTCTGATGTACTCTGCAGGTGGGGGCGCCACCGGCCGCGATCTCTTGTAGTGGATCCTCATCGCGCCCACGGCGCGATAGACTGACAAACACGGCAGCTGTGGCATTTCAACCCAGTCATTGACGGTCATTGACTTACATAATTTACCATATGAGTGATGATGTACTTATTAGGAATATAGAGTTATGTATATATGGGTGTTGATCAAAATAAAGGTATCTGAGGCAGCTACAATCGCCGATCAACCGCGAATCAATCGCGACCCCAACGGTGTCAATCGCGGGAGAGTGCTCTTTTATGCAACACTATTTTACACAAAGAATCGTCGAAACATTGCTACATATCACAGTATTTAGAGACATGGCGTGAGCCAGGGCCTACACAGGCGGGTTTAACAATCGCGGCACAATCGCGGATCAATCGCGAACCAATCGCGGATTTCGTCGACATTTTTTTGAGAATTGAATTGATCTGGGCTGGTAGACTTTGAACTTTGTTGTTCTGATTATTCGTTGCTATATTGGCTATCACTATTGAACACAGTGTCTAGGCAAACCCGAATACAGTGTAAGGCTGAATTGTAACATGATTATCATCGCATATAATACTGATTTCTCCTCTTACAATGGTCGATTCTGATACATCAAATGAAATATTTGTCTCACTCGCGAACCAATCGCCGATCAACCGCGATGCAGGGTTTTACAATCGCAGATGCTGAGATACACATGCCCTTTCATAATTCTTAGATTTGCATTTACGATCGGCTCCCATATATATATATATAGATAGAGAGAGTTACATGCCTGGCACAAATCCCGGTACTATATATAATATCTGGACCTGATGGCCTGGCTCAACTCCAAGGCACACCAAGCACAAGACTCCCATCGACATCATATAGACCCCGATGACCAGGCCAAAACCTGGCTCAACCATCGGCACCCTCGTCCCGTGATGAGAAACATCAGGGTGAGGTGGAAGTTGGCTGTTCCACCGAGGGTCACATAAGCACCAAGTGGCCCCTGGGGGAGGTGTCTTCGGACCAGGCATCGACTCGTGAGGTGCCTGTGCCAAACTGGTGGGTGTTGATGATTTTTGACATAACATGTATGCGCGAGAGTGAGCTTAGTGCATGTTGTTCAATTTGGCTACGTGATCATGCCTAAGTTGAGGTGCCCGACGCGTTTTCGATAGCTGCGTTTTCAGTGCGTTTTCAGTGCGTTTTGTACATTTTGGGGTCGCGTTTTCCATAGGTGCGTTTTCTGTGCGTTTCCTATGGGGCTGGCAGAGCGCAAAAAAACAAAATGCTTCATACGCCGAATCTCCTTTGCGCCAAGCCAGGGAGAGTGTGTGTGTGTGTGTTTGTCGGATATGGTCCATCCAAAATGCTTTTTCCCAATTGCAAAAAAACAAAATGCCGCATAAGCCGAATCTTCTTTGTGCCAAGTAAGGGAGAGAGAGTGTGTGTGTGTGTAGGAAATGGTCCATTCAAAATGCTTTTTTCCCAACTGCAAAAAAAACAAAAGGCATCATCAGCCGAATCTCCTTCATGCCACCAATCGAGAGAGAGAGAGAATACTGGGCTGGTCTTACGGTTCCTCTTAGCGGGGAGGCAAGCGCCCCCACCAAGAAATGCTGTCGTGTGGTGGGTGCGGCTTACTGCTCCAGCCCCACACGAGGAAACCAGCCCCCCAAAACGGGAATCTCTTTGCGACAGAAGAGAGGGAGACTCTGTGTGGGAAATGGTCCACCCAAAATGCTTTTTCCCAGCTGCAAAAAAAGCAAAGTGCTTCATAAACCAAATCTCCTTTGTGCCAAGCACGGGGGAGTGTGTGTGTGTGTGTGTGTCGGAAATGGTCCATCCAGAATGCTTTTTCCAATGCTTTTACACCATGGTCCATAGACCACCCAAATGTTTGGACATGTTCCATAGAATGTTTGAACATGGTCCATAGACCACCCAAATGGCATTTATCCAAATCCGATAAAAGCATTTTGGTCTATTGGTATGGCCAAAGCCCCCTCCAGCAAAAGCGCGTTTCTTCTTGATGTTGACCTGCGTTTTCAGTACTTGCGTTTTCAGTGCGTTCTCGCGCGTTTCCGAAAGAGCGCGTTTCCTACCCGGCAGCGTTTTTTTCACAACTTAGGATCATGCATCTATGCTGAAGAATGTCAGGCAGTGGACGCCACCTCTCACAGTCGTGGGAGTGACATTCTCCCCGGGTTTGTGGCCATCTCCGGGCTGGGCGCCCAGGGAAGTACTTCAGGCCCTCACCCGTTCGCGAACGTCCAACGAACAGCCGGGGAGCTTAGCAAGCTGGCGGACAAAGTGCAAAGCGTTCCTGGCGCACCAGTGACGACGAGAAGATCGTCCCACGCGGGCAAGAGACCTGCAAGGTATTCAACCGAACCCTGTTGGCTGCAGAATTCTCATCCTGAGATGATCCATGATGATGTATTATGATATATCATATATCCATATATCGTATATCCTGAAACATCTCAAAGCATCAAAGTCATATGATACACAAACACCTCTATGCCACTATGTGTGGGTGTCTGCGAAGGTATAGAGCAGTGTTATCTCCGAGCAATCTTCACAGCACCCATCGCTCGTTGATGCACTTGGTGGACAACAAACCAAGCTGATGACACCTGATGACTGAGTCTTCGTAGCTTAGCATGTCCAGCCCCTTCGTGTTGTGGTTCAATCTAGAAACAATCCCGCCAGCCCTTTGCATGTCATGGCGGTATGGCTACATGTAGTTCTTCCATTCTGGGACGTGTCTACCAGTCCAGGGAGACAGACTAGCCCGCTCCTCTCGAAAGCCCTTTCTCTTTCTCCCAACTCAGCCGCCCGATCTCAAGCCCCCGGGGCTCGAGACCGGGGGTCTCCCCCGGGGCGGACGCGGGGGCCTCACCCGGGGCGGACAGACAGTCCTTGGAAGACATAGAAGAGACCTCTTCCCCAGAGCATCGTGAGGCCCTTGGCCCACTCGTGCATCCATTTCTGCAGAGGTGTCAGGGTCTCGTGCACTTGGATAAAGGAGGGGTCGCTCTCGGTCACCATGGTCACCACGCCGAAGAAGACCATGTAGGCGTTCACCACGTAGTAAATGGGCTCATCAAAGACCTGAAAAAGACGGGCTCAGAGACTGAAAGACCACCCCAAAAAGGATTAAATGCCCAGGCATTTATATGATGCATACCTGGAACTGACTTCGTTCGGTCCCGATGGGACAAAAAATCATATACCCTATAAAACGGGTACCTAAATAGTTTTAGTATGTTTGAAGGTCCAGGTAAGCATAGGCATGGGGCGACTCTAGCTTGATCCCGGTAAAAAAAAAAAGCTCCCTATTGGGGTGGCCAATTGAAGAAACGCATCTTGACACCCATGCCCCTCCACTTGGCCAAAACATGATGATTTCCCCTGACATCACTCTCAATTTTGGGGTCCTGAGTCTTGAGAACTAATAAATGGAGAAAGACATAGAAGGACCTATTTAAGAAACAAAAAAACATTTAAAAAAAACAAAAAAAACATCCACCATGTCCATGCATGTCCTCACCCGAACAACCAGCCAGTGGACTCAGTCGATCTCTCTTAGTCTCGGTGGACACCGATTCTTGGGGGTGTGAAGCCGGTTCCGGGTGTGGACGTAAAAACCAGATCAGCAACCCCCTACCATTCATGATGCAAATAATACACAGAATCTGCTGCCAAGTACGTGGTTAAAAAAACTCATTCCCAAAAACTCACAGACATTGCACCGTGGAAATCCTCTGCAAAACGCCAAAAAAATGTGAGTCCCATATCTTCCTTTTCGGATCTTTTCGCGTATCTGGTCTGCTTCTGCGGCTCCTGCGAACTGTTTGCTGAGGCGCATCGAACACATCGATGACACTGAGAAAGCCATTCAGCACGATCGCCGCACCCCCAGCGAAGCAGCCCACTTTGATGCGATGCGGGGCACCCTCAATGTATTCCTGCATCTCAGCCACTCGGTCCTCGGAATCAAAGAAACAGCTGGGCAGTAGACATAAATGACACGAAATCATGACATCAAGCAGTGGGGAAAGGTTGGAGCCGGGCTGCCAATCAAATGCAAACAGCTGGGTATATAATTGGGGGTTTGGATGGGTTGGTACTACTTCTTAGGTCCCTCAGCAGTCGGCTTCACATGGATGGCTGGAGGGACTCATCTGCAGCATATGAGTCTGACCGCCAACCAATGGGCTTTTGGCCTTTCAGGGGGTCGAACTGGGAGCTCTCCCTATTAATTAGCTAACCTGATCACTGATCACCTTTTGTTCGCAAAGAGATGTAGACTCGACTCCATCTTGACCTGTGTAGATTGGCGCAATAGGGGTGTGTGGAGGAACTCCAAATTAAGTATGTAAGTATATATATATATATTATGTTATATATATACAGTAATTCTGTAATTCTTTTAAATGTTGCTTGAAGAGACTTCTGGGGTGCAGTGGCTCACCAAAGCACACGCCAACTCATCTCCCTTCCCTCATGACTTCATGATCATTTTGACATGTCTTGCTAGGCCTCTCACCACATCGACCCGCCAAGGCTCAGCCATCTCCTTCAAGGACTTCTGGTGCGTCTCATCCATCGTCTTCGCCACGACGTCCACCGGTGGACGTAGACGATGGGAATCTCTTTCAACTTGAACCCTCAAACTGCGCACGTCTGCATGTGGTGTCGGAAGTGACAGGGCCTCTTTCCCTCAACAATCATGCGTCGTCGATGTGGCCTTGCCCTGGTTGGTTGAGAGTCGAGAAGAGGCTTTCTATGGTTTTCTTCGGATATGCAGACCAAAGTCTACAAACCGGGTAGCCTATGGAGCCTATGGCTACGACTCTCACTTTCAGAAAGGGTGCCATCTCAAGCCACCCCTCCTTCTCTGTGCGGCTCCGAGTGGTCTGACGGAAGCCGTCGAAGGTGGGATCGATCCGGGTTCGGCGGAAGCACCCAGGCAAACATAAACGCTAGGGCTCCAAGTACCTTCTCAGAAGGCATTTGGACCCTCTAAACCCACCCCAAACACCTTCCTAGGGATAGAAAACTGAGAGTATGGCACAAGGGCCCGGAGGTTTATATAAGCGCCCTCCTTCAACCTGTATGAACTCCAACCTGCCACCACCTGCAGCCCCAACCACCCAAGGCGCGCGAGACTTGTGCCAACGTGATGTGTCTTGACTTGTCTGACATGACAAGTGGGCCGCAGTAGCTGCCAAGAGCAGAAGGTGCGAGCATCTTTAAAAAGAATATGTAGTTCACAGAGCACTGTGAGACACAAATGCCTCAAGATAATCGATGTTGGAAGCGCTTCAAATTGCCAAAACTTGAGCCAGCGGCAGAGAACATGCGTGCTTGCATGCCGCCAACTAGATACAGGCACACAATGCAAAACTTGGAGAAGCAAGCCAACATAAACCAAACAGCTTTCCTGAAGCTTGACAGTTTGCAGCTCTGCAAAAGCTCCCTGCGCGGCTCCAGTTGAAACAGTGCCTCATCATGTCCAGCCCGCAGTTGAGGGGGGCAGAACGAGTTCGGCGACTAGCGCCACGGCTGTCGGGTGCACTGAATTACTGCAAGCTTCACAGCACAACTTGGATATGCGATACCACGAAGCCCAGCACGGGCCACGCTGGTTTGGTGTGCACCTGTCATGCCCCAACCGTGCACCACCCCGTGGGTACCACCGCACCTGAGTAATGTTTTGAAAACTAGGCAACACGCCTGCCAAGTCTGATGTACACTGTGTCTGCTGATCTTGTGCATCTGTTGATGCTGGGAGCGAGGAGAGACTGCGGGCAAAAAAGCCCGCAACAGGATGACCAAAGAGAAATCAACTATCCAAGGACCTGACTTTCGAGGCTTTTTACACCCGTGGAATGACCCTTATTCTGAACATGCGACTCGAAACGATATATCAAGATGTTTCAAGTCTGACAGGGCATTAGCAGTGTCGAGGTCCGGAACACAGTGGCCGAAAAACAAGAGAACCAATTAATTAGACTATTTACATGTGTTGTGCCAACATGTCGTGTGCTCCGCTGGCTTGTGTCACATCAGTTCACATCATTTCACCTACAGTATAGGGCGCACAACTTCTCCCGGCTCAAAAACCATGCCCCATGCACCGCCTCCCTCTGCCATCCGGCAGCGTGGCGTGCCAATCCCTCCGGCAGCGACCAATTCTCAACCTTCGTCCATCCCTCACGAAAGGAACGAAAGCGTGGTCCCGAAAGCCATGTCTGATGCCTCTGGATAGGTCCAAAAACTCTAAAGCCCACCGAACATCTTGTGGCTGCTGGAATGGACTTCTGAAATTCTGATGTCCCCTATAATCTTGCCCTACAATGTCATCCGAGAACACATGTCAATGGCTCATGTCCAGCGAAGTCTTGCAAGTCACTTCTGTATGTCTAAATCACTCCTACCTGGGCCATGGCTTCACATTCAGAAGTGTTGCCCCAAACGCACGTTAAAGCTTCAAACTATATAGAAAAACACTGAGACAGCAAAGACAGCCACTGTTCTTGCAAAGGGGTTCATCTTGGGCAAATGTTGCTTTCAGTGTGGAGGAGAGTTTCCCATACTGTAGTACTTATATATTATATAGTTATGCATTGTTTTGCCCCCCTACAGGAGTTGAAGTAAACGAAAAGGTGTTGCCATAAACATGCAAAAGACCTCTCATCTCTCACTACCCATGCTACAGCCCATGCAGGAGTTCCCTGGCTGATCCTCCATAATTAGACCAAAGCCACTCACAAACGGCTCCGCCACGGTTCTGTTCCCCACTTGGGCAACAAGCCATGATCTCTGTAAGCAGGGCAATCTAGAATGTAAAAAATACGCTGATTTTAAGACGATCTGCCCTAAAACGATCAAAACTTCTTGCAACCAAGCACTTGAGACATATGTTCACCCGCTCCAAGCACTTGAGACACAAGGCCTGAGCTTTGAACAGGCTCACCGCCGATCAAGCGTGAAGTGAGGTCTGGATGTCTTAAGTTTGAGAAGGTCTTGCGAGACCAACCTTCGAAGCTGACTGATGTGAAGCGGGAAAGGAGGAAATGCTGCAAAGCACCCCAGGTGTAAAGGGCCAAAGCTGCATGCCAGTCAGTATTTCAGAATTCATTTAACGGCGTGTGCATTTCAAGCCTATATATATATACTATATATATACATATATCCTCATTGGCAGGATGATGGAGATGATGACAGGCGGAGGAGGAGGAGGAGGAGGAGGAAAAGGAGGAGGAAGTGACCCAGAACCATCAACACCCACCTGCTCAAGTCGATGAACAATCATTCCCACATTGGAATGAACATATATATATATGTATGTATGTATGTATGTATGTATGTATGTATGTATGTATGTATGTATGTATGTATGTATGTATGTATACTATATACAGAACATTCTAATTGGACTGCCACAGCTTGCGAAGGCTACATCCGGAATTTGCTCACCTTCTTTCCCTTGGACTTGCGGTCCAGGAACTGGGGGAAAAAAGACAGAAAAATCACCCATAGGGAAATAAGAATCACATCACCCTCTGCAAAACCCAGTTCAAAGTATATGCAGATGCATCGCAACTTGAACATCGAACGGCGCTGGATTTCATGCGTGGCCGACAGCAAGGTGGCCTGGTCCGTCCGGCGGGCCTTGCGCCGGATTCAGAGGATAAAGTCCAGAGGACTAGTCACTCAGGCAACCAACTTCTCCGAAAGCTCCCAGAGCTTGCCTCGGTTGGACTGCTAGCCTTCCACACTTGGGACATGCAAAGAGTGAGATAGCTACTTATTTTCTGTGTTAGTCGGTTACGGTTAATTGGTCAACCTAGCCTTCACACTTGACCTTCCCTTGATGCGGTCAAACAGAATGTACAATACTTCTGGAACTCCGCCAGCCATGCATAGTTGTTTGTGTATGGTCTCCTTGAGGGACAATTTCCCAATGTTTCGGAAGGGACAATCGTCTGCATTCTTCAAGGTGCTGGAAACTCAGCCACATAAATCCACTTGTTGGACAAAAACCAGCGAAACATTCAAACCTCGCAAATCGAGTGGCTGCAGCGCTGGTCGTTGGCCGCCTCACCACCAATCTCATCAATGCTGAGGGTGCGGAAGCTGCCGTAGTTCATGAACCAATCGTGGTCCTCCACAAAAATGAAGCCTCTGTGGCCTAAATTTGTTCTAACACAAATGAGAAGGCATACCCATACCTCCGCCTCTGCACATTACTCACCAGCTTTTTCTGACATTATAAATATTTATATATATATATATTCTTTATATTATACACTACCATAAGAGAAAACTCATGCCGGAGACCGCCGGAGACCGCCGGAGACCCCTGAAAACAGCTTACATCACTTTGTATTTGCTTCAAATTACCGCCTTCTTAAGGTACTACGCTACAAACATGTGTATTTTTGGTGTTGATGTTTCAATTAGAATCCTAGTTCATCACCAATCATCGAAGAATATCTAAGAATCACTATTATAGTTTGAGAAAGGGTTTTGCAAAGGGAAAGGGGAACCCCTTCAATCTGGAGGTTCTTTCAATTTTTGATACGAGTTTAATAAAGGATGTATATACTGTATTATACTGTAATTCTAAATATAGACGCTGGTTCCTAAATGGGTTCTATTGGATACCCATATTTGGGGGACCCCCGTTTGAGGGCACCCCTATTAACAAAAACAATGTTGTATGAGTTGTATGTTCAATTTTGGGGGGAGGGGACCCGTGTCTTTTGATAGGCAAGTCTTTAACCCAGCTGGGGGATGTAGAGCTTTTCTGTCGCAAGCGCCAGCAAACCAGCACCACCAGAAGCCGACGTCACTCCTTTTCGGTGTTCTGCACTGCATCCTTGCCACCACCGCCGCCGGTGCCAGCCTGTAACAAGATTGGGCGCCATGCACCTTCCCTTTGACAAACATCCTGAAGCTTTAGAACACTTGGACTCTACAAGCTCGACACCTTGATCAACATGGGTGCCCTAGATCGCTCCCAAAGCGTGAGTGGAAAATGGGAGGCACCTCTCGTCCAAGACCCACCTAAGACCACTAAAATCTTCCAAGACCTTGCACCTCTCAGAACAGAGCCTCCCATCCAGACGGATCCACTCTTCAGCTGACGTGCCTCACCCTCCCAAGAATAGTAGCTGCCGCTTGTGCCATATCGATCGTCCGCCACGCAGGCCGCCAATCCTGAACCCCGAGACATCCGCTACTAGGAGCGATCAGACGCTACGAACGGGGCTCCTGGCCTTACTACTAGGAACAAGAGGACGCTACAAACGGAACAAAGATTCCAATACCAGCGCCCGACTTGGTTCCCGGTCGCCAATGGTTCGACCTGCTAGGGCCCCATCAACTCGACCTGTAGAGGAGACGTGCTTGTAGATGGGCAGACAATGCACGGCGGTGAATATGAGCACCGAATCGAGTCGGCATTCTTTGGCCAACTGTCTCCGTAGCGTAGGGATCGGCATCTGTTCGAAGTCTTCATCTGCGAAGTAAATAATACCACCCCAACAACGGGTGATCAAGATCTCAATCCCCATCTATAGAATCATCCAAGTCGATTGTAGTCAGGCAAAATTTGGGCCAAATCTGCACATATGCACTGCAATCTTCTTCATTCACACACCCTTTTCAGATCTGCCGAGGATCGTTGCCCTGCCTCATCTTGGCTCACATAAGCCTGGTGTCGAAACGATGTTTCTTGGAAGGACACGAGACGAAAGACATAACGAATCGATCTAGGGAGAGGCCTTTTTTTGCGGCCAGTAGTAGATGTGGTAGGCCCCTTGTTTCCAAGATTGCTAGATCACTAGGTCACCATTAATCAGTAGCTATGACTTGAGCCATAAGTCAAGTTCCTAGTGCTTGGACTGGGTCAATGGGTGCCTCTCATGTTGGTGCACAAGCGTTCCCTGAGTGAACCCAAATGTTTCTTAGGCATTTGGGGGGCACCTTGGTCACAGTCTTGTGGAAAGCAGGGAAAAGGTTCTGGAAGAGCGGGTAGTGTTCGCGGAACAGCCCAGTCTCAGCAATGCAGCCAGGGTAGAGAGAGGTGAAGACAATGCCAGTCTCCTCCCAGAATGAATGCATGTTTCTCTTGCAGCACAACCCCGCCTTTGTTGAGGCTTTTGCCTAGCCGGCACCCCCCAAAAGTTGCACTTTTCCCTGTGGCAACCACCTGGCTCCAGGTAGAAGCTGCGGTTCTCTCCTTGTGGAAGCGCTTGTGGAGCTCCTTCATCAACATCACGTCGCAAACCTTGCTGTCCTTGTAGGCCTTGTAGGTGCTTTGTTCGCACCGATCAACGGTTCGGCCGTTTCGGACGTTGGACACTGCAGGTCGGACACGATCCTTGTTCTACCGTGTCACATCTGAACAGAACAAGGCATGGTGTAGTGCAGCTGCCTGAACTGCCCAACATGGAGGAGAATGGCCCCGACATGCAATTGGTCTTGGACAAAAATATCAAACTGTCCCCGTCTGTCCCGATCTTGGCAAAGACTGTTTCAACAGGTCCCTTTGAACATGGTCTTCATGATGCGGTTCATGTGCAAAAAAAACTTCTCCTGACGGATGACCCAATCGTCTTCCCAGGTCAGGTTCGCCCACCTTCGCGCCATCGAAAGCACCACCGTCCAGCATGGTCACCGGCGCCTGGCCGGATGGAGCGGGTGGGCGGGTGTGGCATGGGTTGGGTGTTCACAAATGCAGTATATGCTATTCAATTATATATATATATTCAATTCATATCGTAAAGCTCATTGTGTGAGTGGAGCGCACAGAAAGGCTTCGAAGAGACAAAGTCAAGTTCAGCCTACGATTAGATACTCAAAAAAAGAACAACTCCAGTGATAGACAACATATGGATACATATGGTCCAACATCCCAATCTCCCTGCAGAAACGGACAAGTGCGACTCTGGGAGGGGCAAATTCTGGCCACAGAATTATCAAAAAGGAATCACTTGTCAAGGAACAACCTCGAACAGAAAAGCCTGTCCGTAGTTTGTGGCACCAATTATGCACATCCATGAGCTTACAAGTGAAGTTAAGAAGACAAACTGCTTCAAGGGTGACGAGCCACCTTGTGGGATGCGTGAGACGGAACACAATGTTTGAAGTTCATGTCCGTCCAGTGCTTCATCTGCTTCATAAAACATGTTCAATGCCAATGTGGTTGATGCTGCCGTCAGCGCATCACAGAGCTTGCAGCGGGCCACGGGATGATCACCTAGAATTCGAGGTTAGCCTGGGCACATGATTCTCACAGAACGACGCAACCCAGCACCCTTGAGCTTGTCCAGCGCCCCTCCCGCTCCACGTGCCTTCATCCCTTGCTCCTCAGATCAGGTTGAAGAAACTTTACTCCGTGGGTGGAAGACGGGCTGAAGGTCTCAAAGTATTGTTGGCGTGATGTTCAAACTTAGAAGGGATTGAATCCTGGGACTCAGTCCGCCTGAGCCCCTGCTGGCTGGCGCCTTCTCTGAAAGAAGAGTTAAGAAGAAACACCGGCCTGAAACGACGTCCGACGTCTGCACCCTTAAAAAGCCCCGAAGCCCACCCTGATTGCTCCAACTCGCTTTCAACCTCAAGGTCCCGCTACACAAACATGGACATAGCAAATGTCATGTCTTGGTGTGCTCTCGAGTTTGACAGTTGGGAGAGTTCCTGTCCCCTGCGCTCCCCTCAGAAAGTGCCTCCATGTCCCTGAAGAGCTCTTCAGGTCCCAACAGTTCACGACCTTCACAACGGTCGTAGGATGTGTCTCCCCTTCATGACAAAGGGTCCCCAGTCCTATCCAGTCCTACCCAGGTCCTCCGTTTCCGTCCCGCCCTCCACCGGACCCGGTCCGTTCGGTGGAAGTCCGAACCAAGAGGCCAAGCCCTCGAAGTTCCCCAAATGCGCCAAAGGTGGGATCCTGAAAACGGAAGAGACTAGGGGCTCCTGGCCTTACTACTAGGAACAAGGACGCTACGAACGGGGCTCCCGGCATCGCTACCAACGGAGCAAGGATGCTACTTGGAAGAGTTGGACGATCGGCCGATCGACTGGACCACCGACCCACCGACCACTTGAACCCCCGCTACGTGGAGGATCGTGTGGAGGATCGAGCGGAGCGCGTCTCGATCGATTTCGATCGTGTGGGAGTCCGGGGGAACCCATCATGTTCCATCCCATTTGGACATGGGTTCTTCCAAAGAAATCGCTGTGGGATGGACCCACAGCTGCCCCCCCAAAAGTGATGCTGAAATCCTCTCAGCCCTGCTGGCAGGGCTCATGCCACCCAACTCAGCTCCATTCACCGTAGCTGTGACGGTGCCCAAGATGACACAGCGGGGAGTGCCAGAGCTCTTCTTGAGGTCCTCCAGTGCCGCAGCTGGCAAGCCCGTTTTCTGCAGGTCGACCGAATTCATTGGAGGATGTGTTTGATTTCAACATTACATCGATGAAACACTAAGAATGACATAGAACGACGCCTCGACAAAGACACACATGCCGGAATCGAATCAAAGGGGCTCACGACTCAAGCAGCAGGGAGCTTTTTTGGAACTCGCCTTGCAGGGGCACGGCTCTCTTCAACTCCCATTCTGTAGCAGCTGGCTGAACCTTCGGAAAAGCAAAACCCCAGGTCCTCCAACATGAGCTTGCAAAGCAGGAAATGACCTGGACCGATCTGTTTGGTCAACCGGTGCGTGGCCGCACTTCTCACACTTCTCTCTGCAAGGGTTCGCCAAGAACAAAATGAATAGAAACCAGATTTATGCTGCCACTGGCTTACATACCACTTGTACAATACTATATAAATACTAAACATATCTAAACACATGCACCCTTAGCCTATATTAACCCTCTACATATATATATATATATATGTGAAAGACAAACATGAGACGTCAAACTACGCACAGAGCAAAACAAACGACAAATGACAAAACACTATCACTAAGAGCGCATGAAGTGCACGCGTAAAGTACGTAAAACCACATACAAGTCAGGCAACACAAATATAGAGAAACATAGTTTTTACAGTTTTATAAGAAGCCAAAGCTGCCCTTTTCCATCTCTTGAGCGCAGCTGCTCCTCTGCTCCTACGTCGCCCGTTTCCAAGAATTCTGCCAACACAGTGTTCCTGGGGCTCACTCGTCAAAATCCCTTTGACTTCAGCTAAGCTGTCTCAACGCAACAGATCAAGGACCCTCCAAAACATCCCAAAATCTGGTGGTGCTGTAGCTCGTGTGGTTCTGGTCCCGCCTATGTACTCCCACCATTCCCGCTTGAGCGAAGGAAATAAAACAAACTGCAGCATGATGGGTCGAAGACCATGGCGCAGGATTTGGGGGGTCAATTAGGTCTGGGGTCGACCACATCTGTGAGCAGAACCCACAAGGACGGCCCACCTCAAGAGCTTGCCCAGCACTTAAACATCTGGATCCATTTCATGATCTGATTTTCATGATCTGACAGTTTTTATCTGGATATATGATATATGCGAATGGAAGTGCAGCGACACGTACAGTGCAACTTGTACATATATATGTACCATATGTACTTTGGCTCAAGGATCAAGCGACTAGAAAAGGTGCGGTTTCCGTTCCGACGCTATGCCGCTTATGGACCGTCAGTGATAGCTTCAAACTTCGCTGATTAAGATCCACTCGCAATATATATATATATATAACTGATGAGATCATGAAGCGGATTCAAATGGAGGATCCGATCTTGCCTTGCAAGCAAACAAGGAAACACAACACGATATTGGCCGGCAAGTGGCCCAGGTAATTGGCAGCGAAGCTCATCTCGTGGCCTGCAAAGAAGGTCTTGTCGTTTTGTTGGGGGCTTTGAGAGTGAGAAGGAACTGAGGCATGCTTCGGCTTGCATTTCATTCCATCAGGAAAGCTACTGGTAGCAGCTTCCGAACATTCTTCACAGAACGGTAGTCGAACCTAAAGCACTGTTGTATTATATAGTAGCATCTTGAGATGTTTGCCCTTTGTTCCCCCCTACAGCATCACATCACTTAAGGGTCAAAGATAGTCGTTCTCACTGCTTTCAAGGTCCAATTGGCCTCCGTATTTTGCTTGCTCCGTAGCTGTGTCGAAGCGGAGGCCCTGTTGGTCCACCAGTTGGCCTCCCCGGCACCTACGGTACTCGTATCGGTCGCCGGTCGCGAGGTCTCACCGCACCTTCGGCGCTCCAACGGGGACCACCCCCAGGGAAGAGACCCGGCAAAATGACACCCTCCTCAGGCCAAGCGGGAGGAAGACCAGGCCGAGCCGGAAGAGGACTTGAGGAACCAAATACGGTGCTCTCAAGTTGAACATCGTGGGGCTTTTTGTGAAAGTGTAGTGATAGATGATTCCTTGCTACCATGGTGAGAACGGTAAATATAAAAAATGAGTGATCATCAGTGCACGCATCAACATCTAGACCCGTTTAGAAGAATGTGCAACGATCGACATCAGGATCATCTTCACGAATTTGAATAGCCGTTTCCCTTCGGCTGCTCCTTGTGAGCATTTGGGAAGTAGACAGCTGCGTTGCAGACCAAAGCCTGGCAGAAAAAGAGCAGAAGTGCTGAGGAATGATGAAAAAATGAGTGTCCAAGTGTGCCCATCCTGTTGGGCATCTGTTACATCCACTCCATACGATCATGTGAGAACAAATGAACCAATATGAACCAATTGTTGCCAGGTGTTTCACTTGTTCATCAGCAAAGGTCGCCATGATTCGCCATAGTTAGGATGCAGTGGCATGGCAGCCACGGCTTGCCAAATGGAAGTTGGATTAGCTACAAGGTCTGGCGTCCTTGTAAGGCGCAAAGTTCTCCTTTTGCCATCAAACCTCAAATCTTGGTAAGCCATTCTGTGCATCACCTCTCACACGTTTTAGTGTTTGCAAAGTCCTTTTCCTCACCAGTGGAGACCTCTGACCTCTACCGCCTTTCTTCGGAACCTCTGGGCCAGAACGGCTCCGCCCGATCTTGGTGTTGCCAAAGGCGCATCCAAGCTCTGGTACATGGTGCGGAAGGTCTGAACGAAGTTCCGGACGCTCTGCTTGCTGGCCAAATCACAGTGCATCACCTGCACTGTGAAGAAGCGCGAGAAAGTGGAAGGCGGGGCGGGTCTTTGCTCCTGTTGTGCTGATTCGATAACTAATGATAACTATGCTCGTCCTTGAAGGGATCTTCATGTGCCAGCATTGCCCAAGCCTGGTAGTTCTCAGGGTTCATGCCAGCCTCCTTGGCGGCTTTTTCCTTAGCGGTAGCGCAATGGATTGCCAGGGCCGCAACACCCCCCCGCGCTTCTCATCACAAATACCCTTGCTCCCGAGGCACCGCCTTCTGAAAGTCCCGGCAAGCCATAACCACCTGGCCAAATAGAAAGTCTCACCTCTTCGACATTCGACATTCGAGGTGAGGTTTGGCATATACACTGGTTTGGCACATCCTAAACTATCCTGTATAAACTTATAAACTCTTTCCACCTGTCCATCTCTATCATTGTAGGCTTGCGAGCGGCAAGGTCGCGTGTGTAGGAGATACTTGATCCCTGCGATTCTTCTCGCTTCCCACGCCCGCAACGGTGCACGGCCTCATCACCCCAAAAAAGGATAGCATTGAGACGCCTCTATTCCACACGGTCCACCGACATGGCTGCCTCGCATCCTTCCCAACGTCACCCTTCCCCGCCAGCCCGGCGCTCGCCTGCCAGCCCTGCTCGGCCAAGGACTTAGCAGCGGACAAGCCTAAGCCACTGGAAGCACCGGTGATGACCACCGTCTTCTTCTTGGACTCGAAGCCCTCAGGCCAAAGCCAGCATGGAGAGGTGTCAGGGGAATATGATAATATTGGATAACCGGTAGCAGTCACAAAAATACGTATATATAATGAATAGCAATATATTCATAATCAATGTATATATTCAATGATACTGTATATATATATATATATACATATGCTAGAGGCAGGGGTGACCCTTCTTGAGGTGCTGAGCCTCCTTGAGCTGTTGACACAAGCCACTGAGATGAGGCGTGTGAAGCTTAGTTTGTTGACACCCATCAAGGTTTGACAATACTCAAAGTGTAGCATTCCGCCTGATCGCTGTTAGGGGGGTCCACCATCTGGAACGTATATATAGATATGAATTTGACAACAGCCTTTCACCACCACGAAGTTTGGTCCCCGTGGTTGCGGACCCTTAAACGATATGAGCCATGAGCGTTTGCAATGCTTTCTGGGCACCATTTAGACATGGCTGGTTGCAGGTCAAAACTGTGACATTCAACTAGGGCTCTCCGAGTGCGCTTTGGAGTGTTTAGGTTTGGCATATGTCCAAATGAAAACTTCAGCGCCAAGCTATACCAATTGGCCAATCTCGTCCACTCCACCTTTCATCGGTCGAAGTGTTCGTCAGGCTGACCAAGACACCGGAAACGTGGGCATTTGCAGCGAAAACTTCCGGGGCACCTGGAGGCAGGGGCGGGTCAATCCAAAATCGGAAGTTGGAATCCTAGGATTTGGGAGTGAAATGGAGAGACCTTCCATGGAACGACCCCCTGGAAGAATGAGCATAATGAACATCACCCATTTGGGGGTATGTCCAGCCGGGTCGGTCTTTCGGAATGTCATTTTCGACTTCACCCCGACTACCCTTTCTCTAAGATTCTCCCTGTCGACCTCCCAGTCGGCTTGGCCCAGTCTAGCCAGAGCTGTATCAGCGCCCCAGGTGTGACTAAGAACAAGTAGAATGTGTTTGAATTGCTGATCTGGTCTGATAGATTCTGATAGTATCTGGTAGGCTGATAACTGTAATGAGCATCATGGTTTGTCATGAAACGTGGTTTTCAGGGCAGGTCCATCTACAAAAAATGTTGTTCTGCAATCTCTTGCCTTGGGGCACTTTCGCTGGCGTCGTGCACCCGCCACCGCCCCCGCTGCAACGGCACACGCAGCCGCCCAGCCCGGCTGAACAGCTCCGCCCGCAGCCGAAGCCGCCGTCAACGACGCCGCAAACGGCGTCGTGGTGGGTGCCACGGTGGGAGAGGCCGCGGTGCCGGCAGGGAGGACGAAGCTCAAGGCCATGGCGGCGATCACTTTGGAGGGCGCGGCTAAGGTGTTTGAGGCGAAACTTGCGGAACGGAGGCGGGGCAATCAGAATCATATAGTAATGAGATGTAATGTAATGAGATGTTATAGCCCTGGATAGACCGACGATCTCACGCTGACCTCCCCAAAACCAAGGTCCAGGATGGTGCAAGTACCAACATTGAGGCCCAGCACAGGAGCAGCCAGGTGATTTCAGCATTTTTGGGGCTGAAGCCCTTACGATGTGCACGTGGAGAGATTATGAACAATCAATCCAACTGATTTGGATTCAACAGGCTCACTTTACCTCAGTATGCTCGGTCTGAGAACGACTGTACTTAGGCTTATATTGTCCTCATGCCTGTCACATCACCATCAGCACGTGCCTTAGCTCGTAGCTTTCTGAGCCAGAGCCGCCAGCGCTGCACCAGCAGCAAGGCTGGTGCTAATGCCAGCGGGGGGCGCCCAACTGACAGAAGCCATGGAAGCCATGGCAGTAGGCGGCACCAGTCAAGGCATTCTGTCCAAAACCACTCTGTGGGGAGTCAGCGCGCGGCGTACTGGCCACAAAACTGATCAAATGCATCAGCGAAATATGGAATACGACCTCTGACAGCTGGACACCTGACAAAGCTCCTGTCGGGCGACAGAACATGCTGGGACTTTGGAATTGAACTCGTCCAAACTCCGGCCTGAAGCACCGGCGTTCTCGGTTTGACTGCGGTGAGGTCAAAAGGAACCATCCTTCGTTATGGTGAATGACTACCCAGCCTGGCTTCAACCAGTAAGCACTGGCAGGGGGACATCGCCGCGATGTTTTTCCGCCTGAAAAACGTCTTGGGGGTCTTTTGACGCCACGTATTGCGCCGCAATGAGAAGCAGGGGGTCTTTTGGCTCCTCCTCACATCGGATGACCAAACGTGAATGGCTGGATTCGAAACGGGGTGATTCGCCACCATCCTGGACCTGTGCAACAGCACCGCCTCGAGCCCAAAGAAACTCCACGGTAGGCACCAGGATGCCCTTTTTTAGTTTGGCCCTGTCCTTAAACAGGAAGAAAGCCCTCTTTTAGCATGGAAAAAGCTACCTGACGAGCTGTGAACACGTATTTGGAAGGGATGGGATTGTTAAAATCGCTTGTGATTTGGACCGGACCGGTAACCATGATTGATCTTGATTGAGGATATGCCATAGCACTTGTCGGAAGAGCAAGACTCGTCGAACGGAGGAGAGCTGTATGATAGAGGAGGCTGTTGGACAAGGTAGGACACTTGAAGGCATAGATGATCAAGGATGACGACAGGTGTTGAGAAATGGGAAGGGTCTTTTGCGACGAATACGTGTGTATGAAGTTATGGTCCCTGTAAAGGATTGATATTGTTGCAAATGTATTCCAAGGGTTGCCCTTAAGGATCTCTTAACTTGATGCTATATAACATATATATATATATATGCATGCTTTAATATGTTATATATAATACTTTTGTTTGTATAGTTCTCTTTCTGAAACACTCGCTGACTAAGAAGATACTCCTGGCCTATCCAGAAAACCCTTTTGAGGGATGGCGTTTCATTGCCCCAAGAGGGTCATTCGAGTAGTCTGGGAGCCTTTGGTGATTTAGGGTTTTTGGAAAAGCCTGCTTCAATAGGGCTAAAAACTCCCCAATGAAATGGCTCGCGCGCAGAAAATCACACCCTCGCCCTAGAAATGCGGCCTTGTGATTTGGAAAAAGAACACGCCATTCTTCGGGCCATGATGTAGACTCTTGATTCACCAAACCCTGACAGTTTAACCAGATCCGCTATTATATAACTATATACCCCCAAAAAAAGAGGTATACACATATAGTAGAGGTACTATTCACCGAGAACCTCGGAAAGCCGATGGCCATGTCTGCTTCGGCCCCGAGCTTCACACCCTGACCGCGGTGACGAGTTCCCGCGGAGCTACCGGCCTCAGCGTGTGAACGCTGAGGCTTTCAGCGAACTGCTGGGCCTGAAGCCGAACCTCAGACGGGTCAGAGGGGTCAGACAAATCCACCAAGTGAAAGGAGCATTTGCTCCGGGAGAAATAGGGATAAAGTATTTCTTCAAGGCATGTGCTGTTGAACAGGTCTCTGCCCCCAATCTTGTACAAGAGGATGATGAGGATGATGATCAATCATATATAGAATCATGTTAGTTGATGAAGAAGCCTCTTCGAATGGAGGCACTTGCCAGCCCAGCCCAGCCCACCTCCCTTTCCCCTGCATGTTAACAACCTGTGGCTTCATGGATCTCCGCTGGCCTCGTCCGGGATATGTTTGTTCAAGAGGAACATGGCCACCTTCACACCGACACGTCGAGACGATCCCCGGCGGAAACCGAAGGAAGCTGGGGAACCGAAGGCGCGAAGGAAGCGCGGTTGGGGTGTTTAATCACGGAGGGTGTTGGGGTCTCACGGAGGGTGTTGGAAAAAGGCTACTGTATAGGTGTTCCATTACTATGCCGATTCTTCTGGACGGCGGGTCTATTTTGCTTGGGAGACACTCACGATCCTGGGAAGAAGTTGTCGTGTTCAGTCGAGGGCTAGGCCTCTTCTTCACCTGCTCGGCCTGCCTCATCAGAGAAGTGGTTGCAGTTGTGCTGCAAGACCTCGCAGAACTGGTCGAAATCAGCGTCCGGGGTCGTGGGACCAGATGCGTCAAACTAGGACCGACAGGCCTCTCTTAGAGTTTAGTGGGAGGAATTTCCCAGAAAAGCACCTACCAATTAAAAGCTTCTGCCTCTTGCATCGGGTCTCGTAACAGTTCTGGCTCCAAGTTTTGCCACACTTGTGAGGTGGCGATCGGAATCTAAAGGAGAAAAAACCTTTCGACATGGTTTGACGTAAGGTTCATGTCCAAGTCTTGCTCCTTTTCGTGGTGTTCCGGACGAGGAGCCGCACCCAAACGACTTTGGCTGATGAGGGCGCTCCCCTGGGGCCCCCCACAACCATCTAGTCGTCTATAGTTCATTACTAGCACCCATTCGATCATCCCCATGTTGAATACGGTAATTCTGTTGATCTTTGTTGATCTGTCTCAAAGACGCGTATTCCGAATTCGCTGACTTCTGCGGCGCTGCGGCATCATAGGATTCTCGAGTGTATTCTCTGCAGAGCTCCTGCCAAGATGTGCGAAGAATCTTGGGGAAGGGTCCCGCCCCAGCAATGAACGATCCTTGAGGGCTATTTCAGTATGTCGAAACCATGCGCCAGGCCTGCCCCTGGCCATCGTATTCCCGCCATCATTCGAAGAAAAGATCCCAGGACAACCCCCCCTTACCTCCGTAGTTGCATCTGGAAAGCCTATGGTGTTCTTGTTTGGTGAAACCTGCACCTATGGTATCCCATGATGTTCTATGACCCTCTCTACATACATGCTCGGACCTTTTTCTCCGTATGGCCCGGTCCACCTCATTCGAGGATCGTCGGCGGTCCGTGTCTCGGATGGGGCCACGCTCAAGTCCGTCGGTCGACCGGCGAACGAAGCGTTTTGGGTCTTTCTGTAACGTGAGGAGTTTCGTGTACCAGTATTCAGTTTCTCTCAGTCATTGGGAGCATTAAACAATAAACCAACATCAATCAAAATCACGTGGAATTGATATATGACTACAGGTGCTTCGATGGAGTGGTTGTCATGACGTTCGCCATTTTGGCACAAAACCCATCAACGTGCCCATCCGATGACGTCTTCGAAGCTGAACATATCTGCCATGCGCCAGTCATTTGATGATGGCCGCAGCGTTTTTTAAAGATATTTCAATGTACATTTGAGTCACACGACGCCGCTGTGGTGCTTTAAAAATAGAGGGTGCAAGCGCAAAGATTGGAAACAAATCAAAGCAGTTGGATCTTTTGAACAGACATTCCCCTCATCTCGGCTTGAGGCAGACTTTCACCACTGTTTCTCTGGCGTAGGCGTAGGCTGCATTCAACATTGTATCCATACAGACCCTGCACTTGCCACACCACATCTTGACTTTGAAAGTGCATCGCGGGCGAGGATTAGCTGTGCAGCATCAAAAATTCCGCCCGCAAGCACTGCATCCCTGTTATATATCTTCCGACGAGACCAGGTGAGCGCCGCGCCTAGCTTGCATGTCTCCCAAGCCTTCAGATAAATGCTGTATTTTTTCATCTAATTAGATAATCTAATCTATTCATCTAAGCGCAAAAGATTTGCAGAAGCTTGGCCATGGGTATCTTCCTTGTCTGGAAGGAAGCCCCGGTCTGGCATCTTCTTTCAAGATTGTTGTTTCGACCTCTAGCTCACATTGTGGGTCGGTCAGAGGCCCTGAAGTAGACCGGTAGGCCTAGAGTCACGAACCATCATGATCGAAAGTGAGGACAACGTTCTTCTTGTGGTTGTGTTTTACTATGTTTTACTTGATCTTGCGGATGAGTCAAACCCCCCATAAGCCATATGGAGATGTAAAGCCTTTAAGCCTTTAAATACAACATTATAAAACCATCTTGGCTAATCAGTCGAACACCGCAGACGGGAGGATGTGACGTCAGTCTGACGCTTTGACGTCAGACCTGCACCGCCGTCTTCAGGTCAACTCCTCCGTTCTCTTCGGCAAGGGGTGGATCCCCGAGGGGGTGGGCCGATCCCAGGGGTGGCTGAATAAGCTGCCCGGGCCGATCCGCACTCCATTCACATAGTCCTGCAGCCTGGCCAGAGGGGCTCAACGTTCAAAAGCAGACATGAACCCTTTCACCATCCTTTAACCATCTTTGACATTCTTTGACCATCCTTTAACCCGTTCATTGGTCCGAGGAAGGCTGCTTCAGGAGCGACCTGTCCTTCGTGGCTGTCCTGTCCTTCGTGCTTAAGAAGCTCTGTCCGATCAAAGGGTCCCAGCTTCGTCCGGTCATACGGCATGTTTGCACACACCCCTGGCCCCTGGCCGTGGGATCACCACATATTCTTGACCACAAGACTCTACCACAGTCGTTTGACCCTTTGGGTGGGTCCAACTGAGTCCAACCCCGCCACGCCACCACCCAGCAGCTTGAAACAAGCTCCAGCTGTCCTGGCCTTCCCCAGCCCAGCGGCAAAGAGTCATCCACTTTGGGGAGCTTAGATTCCTTCTTCACCTCTGGTATCCTGAGGATTCTCACGCAAAGCAGCTTGGAAGGCTGGTGGAGACCAGCCCCTTTCCGCCATGAAGTCTCCACAAGAGGAAAAAATCATGTGATTGAACGTTTGCGCAGCATTCCCACCTCTTTTCCCTCAGGATGCCGGATGCCCCATCATCACTGAACTCCGAGAAACTCCAAGTGTTCAATCCGCATCCCTGAATGTCCCGCCTCTGCTCCTTCACCTCTTTCTTCCCCTCTCCTTCACCTCTTCTGTCTCGCTGCCCGGCCCGCGCCAGCATGCGCGTGGGGCTGGGCTCCAAAGCCAACAGCTCCACTGGCAGGGCCACCGGCAGCCGAGGCTTCGAGCGAGCGTCCTCGTGAGGCACCGCAGCGTCGGGTGAGGGATCGAACCCATGGGCGGCACGCACCGGGCAACGGCACGCACCGACGCACCTCTCCTAAGCTTCGGTATAGACTAAGAATTCTACAAGCACCGACTACCGATGATCTCATGTACAAAGTGATTACTCAATCTCACATGGGGAGATTAATCACTCAACAGTAGGTTGACCCAAAGCTTACTCTCATCCGAATGGACAGGATGCTCCGAACAGTCGTGGTCAAGCATGACCACATAGAAGTGAACCCGTGCCTATGTGACCGAGATCGGGACATGTGTGTTTAATGTGACGTGCCAAATTTGGGTTCAGTTGGTCGGCCCCAGCTGCTCTTACACTTAGTGAAGTGGGATCTCACAGTGGGCCCCAGCTGCATCTCCATCACTCCTGCCAGCGTTGCTTTTGCAGGCGCTCCTTCTCCTCAAATCAGGAGTGTCTGAGTTCCCTCAGGGTAGATTGTCAACACTTTTGGGCACCTGTTTAGCTTTCTTCAGTCTCTTACTACATTCACCTTGGACATTGTCTTCGCCCTTGAGTCATCGCTAGTCCATGTTCCTCTGGCGCGCTGCTTGCCAAGTGACCATGAGGCCCCGTGACACCTGCTGCTGCTTCTTGCTGCGGCATGGTCCCATCAAGGTGCGACGGCCCAGAGTGGAGACCCATTCCTTGTAGGGGAAATCCTCCTCCTCATCCTTAGGTTCTGCAGCTCTTTTGGATTTCTGCCAGCGTTTCTGCCGAGGGTCACATGGACCACCGAGCGATAGGCCGGGAAAAACAGCACCACCAAAGCCCCGCCACCCGGAAACCCTCTGAAACCCATCGCGTTGGACCTCCGGAACGCGTCCGCAGCCGGGCGCAGCATCCATGTCTGGTGGTGCAGACCCCATCCGTGACACGGGACACATCCATGTCTAGTGCACAAATGTCCCACACAGTTCTTGGTTGGTGCTTTCTCGCATCAATCCTCCGACATCAGTATAATTAGTCTGGTGCACGTGACCCGAAATGGCACCACTCACCAGCAAAACCCCAACAACGCCTCCATGCTGCATACACCTGCGTTCTTTTTCTTCATCTACTGAGTAGGACCCACCCACCCGTCTCACGCTGAAGAAGCGGAGGCTTCCTCCCGGGTCTCCGGCTCAGTGACCTGAGCGTCGAGAACACGCTCGGAGAGGTGGGGTTTGGAGCCAAAGCGAGAGACTCGGTGCATCGAATGGTCCTGGAATCCTTTGGAAGTTCTAAACAGCTTCTAAACAGAGGCTCATTCTGGGCCAAGTTTGGGTGGAACACCGTGTTCCAAACACTTACGAGGTTGTTTTGACTAAGGCGTCATTTTCGATCGCCTCCAGGGGTCAGCAAACATTGAAATATTCAGGTAAATAAATAACAATGAGATACAATGAGTCTGTTGAACTGCGTGTGTGAATGTGAGAATGGACCAAGCGGCCTCTCCAAGGACACAGTTCGCCAACCTCACCTTTGGGCTTTGGAACTGATGTGCCCTGTAACCCTTGCTACTGTTCATGGGCTGTGCCCGCCTCCTTAGCCTTTCGCATGGCCATCCACCAGACATACCAAACCGGGCTTTGCAAAGTCCGCTTCCCGTCTACACGCGCTGTCTACACGGGCCTCCAACCTTCGTGGACCCTCTCCGAAAGCCAAGGAACGAATTCCTGCCCCACCCGCGAGCGGATCTTTGGCAGCTTCATGTCATCCAACCCGTCTCCAGTGTCGCGTCTCGGGGGCCTCACCGGAACTTGGCTCGCGATGAGTGATGGAGTGATGACTGGGGTCGTTGGTGACTGGCCTTATGTGTTGAACAGCCCAGCTTGTGCAGTGAAGAGAGCCAACCGCCCACAAGGCAGATCTGACAGTTGACTCAACTGGAGACTGATGGCTGAGGAGAATGCGGCAAAACGCCAAACCACCGAACCAAGCCAAGGAACCCTTTCGGACCTTAACGCATTGCTGTCACCAAGCCGGGCATTTGTTGCTCGGCTGTTCCCAACTCCCTTGAGCCCAAGCTGCGCGGCTAGGCTTTCGAGGCTGCGCTGGCTGGGCTCAGCTAGGCCAAGGGCCCCGACTGGATTGATGAAGATTCCGGAATTGAGTCATGGAGTCATGGACCAGTTCTCCGCGTTGCCTGAGAAACCACGCTTCACCATGCTTCAGCTTGTCTTATGAACGTGCTGGGCTCGAAACAGGTGGGTGTTTTTTGTACTCACCGCCAGGAGGCATGCTGGGCTGGAAGGGACTGGTGTTCAACAACCAAAGGAAGGAACTGAGCAAGTTCTTCTGGGACCCCAGGAACCCCGAGTGGGTTGATGAGCAAAACCAGGCCAACACCCTCACCACGATTGCTGGGGTGTCATTGATCCACCTCTTTCTCCTATGCATGTCCCTTCCGGCTCCCCCCGCGACGGTCGGAGTCTCCCGATCCATCTTGTCCCACAACTCCGCTTGGGTGCAAAGGGTCGCCTCGGCGGACGGGGCCAGTGGTGGTGGCCTCTAGGCAGAGGAGGTACACTCCTGGATGGAGGAGAGCTCTGAGGAGGGTGAGTTGTACGGCGTGGGCGATGGCGCACTTGTAGGTCATGAGTCATGATGGAGGAAATGCTGTTCCCCAAAGACCTCCTTGTATGGTGGACCAAGGTATGGCGGGGTTGTGCCTTGTTGTGCCATCTCGGTACATTGAGAGCAAACAAAATTGGGTTCCTCCTAGACAAATGGTCGCACAATGGAATCGAAGGTCAGAACTTGATGGCGCCAAACTGATGATAACGGATGCCTGTATACATAGGCTTCCAACCACCATTGATTTGATGGGTTTTACCGAGCGTGAACCTCTCTTATAAACAATTGTCTTGAAAAGAGCTTTGCTAAGGCGAGCCCAAGGCCCATTTCCAGAAGGTGCGACAAATCACCGTTTCATGTCACTATGTTATGGGCGTGACGAGGTTCAAAGGCTACGTCTAGGGAATATATATATATATATAATATATATAACTATACTTAAGTTAGTATCTATTTAGTTTATCGGTGCACTAACTGTTGCACTATCGAACTACAGCAAACTACTAAAGAAGCTAAAGACTGGAAGTGGCTGGTGTCTGGGCAGCAATTGATCTCTCCATGTTTGGGCGCGCTTTTGATCGGCCGCGCTCATCTGATCCAACTCACTCAGCCGGGCTCTCACGGTGACAAAGAGTCTGGGCGCATGAGAACTCAGCAGCCCGAAAGGAAAATCACCGACGAACTCGACAGGAACTTGAGCAACTGCAGTTGGGCCTGCACAGGGAAGGCAGGTCAACACAGCATGATGGGAAGAAGCGCAGGTCTTGCCATGTGTGCTTCGCAACCATCAGGGCGTTCCCAAAGTCATCAAGTCCGTTCCAATCTAGCCCATGCTGTAGCATCGGATGCAACCCCATCAGATAGAGAGTCACTATCTGATTATCATTGAATATCCAATTTCTTAGGCACATCTCATATCAACACAGTGAGGAGGTCTGCCAGGATTGGCTGGGATTTCGCTGCATCTTCTTGCAGTGACCGGGCCTCGATCGAGCCTTGTGACCCCTTCAGGGCACGTCTGGGATGAAGCCCAATTCACAAGCCACTGAGAGTACCTGGTGGCCAATGAGGACCATTGGAGAACACAAGTGAAAGCGGTAGAGTAGGGCGACCAAACAAGATCAAAGTGGGTGACCCAAGAACAAGTGGATGAACTATGTGTGTCAATGCTGACCTTGGCGGAAGACCAGTGGGCGACTTAGTGGATGAATTCTTTGCTTTGTGTTTAGTGCTTTTGCTGAACTCCCCGAACAGAGGATCCCACTCAACATGAGGATTGTTCTTTTTTTTCAGCTGCGGCTCGGCGGCTCGTCAGCAACCGCTCACCCCCGTCAGGAAACAACATGGACAGTCGGTAGGGGTCCTCAGAGTAGGCAAGGTCTGAGGTCTGAGGGATGCCAAGGGGACATTTGAAGGCTGTTCATCTGCAGAGAAATTCTTGTCACCCCTCCTGTTTTCATACAATAAGGCAATACACGGGCTATACAACTCCCAGCTCAGATCTCTCAAAAGATACCACGCCATGGAAGAAACAGACCTTCACTTTTTCCCTCAATGATTTGCGATAAGGCACCATGAAGATGGCATAGTGACCCAAAAGAACCTAGGACACAGCAAACACAGGCAAAGAGAGGGCACCTGTGCCGAGCTTGTGATCCATGAATGGCCTTGGCCACTGAATCACCTTCACGTTTGTGGCACTGCAGGAGATCGTCACATTCTCCCCGAGCTAATGTGCTAATTCAACGACGCTTTCGGCCAGGCCATGGGGGCAAGGCCTGCCTCTTCGGCCCACGAGTGGTGCAAAGACCGAAGACCCCTTTTCGATTCCAACAACGCCAGGTGCAGATCTCACCAGATCTTCAGCTCCCAACTTTGGGCTCTCTTAGCGAACCTTCATGAACCTGCCACATGTCTGACCCTTCAAGCAAAGCAAAATGCCTCCAAAAAAAGGCGGCTCGAACACATCAAATTAGTATTCTTCCCATTGATGGGGGGAGTTGCGACTAGAAGGGTCTCAGGGAGGCTCGCACACGCCACCTTCGGACACCTTCGGCTTCTCCGTTCCAAGCGACCCAGGCCAATCGCCGGGGGCCATGGAAGCGAAAGCCCGCGAACCTCGGTCGCTTCGGGTGGCCACAGACCAACTGGCTCGAAAAATGGCGGCAAAACCTCTGAGGTCTGACTTTAACGTGCGTTTTTGTTAGATCCCCGCTACCAGCGATGGGCATGAATTCCGACTCCACCAACGTTCCGGGGTCGGTCTCCGGGGCACACAGCCATGGTCATCACGACGGCCAAGAGCAAGGAGACTGCGGCGATCCGGTTCCTAGGACTGTCTGAGGAAGTCGAGATGGGCAAACAGTGCAGTGGACCTTGGGCTCTTTGGCTGTCAGGAAATGAACCCATTTTCTGTCTGCACTGGTGCTGTCTGCCATTGTCACCCAGTTGATGAAAACAAAAACAAAGCAAAGCACGCGGTGCTCCAAAGGGCTGCTTGCTGAGCTGTGATCGAAGGTCTCCGTGCTGCCAAGTGTGACTGGTCAAAGCGATTCCTGTCAGGACAGGACTGTTGTCTGAATAACTGACTAAAAACTCTGGAACCAGCGAAGATTTTTTAATTACAGTAATTGTCATACTGCCACTACTGAGAGTGTGCATCTGTGACAGGAAATCACTTCTTCTAAGTCAAAATATGTCAAAATATTGTCACAATTGTCACTTCTTGCTCCGATGCTTCTGCAATGTGGTACCAGATGTGCTGCATACGATTCTCAACAGCCACCTTGCCAGGAACAGTCACCCCATACCCCACCAGCCCCTGCCTAAGCCCAACAAATCACTCAAGAGCGGGGAGCCATAGATCCCAGCAACCGCCATTTTCGACCTGGCAGTGCCGCAAGCACTGCGACCAGCTTGGCCCTTGTTGTGAGGACAACAGCACCACAGCACCACCAAGCGCGTGAAGATCAGCAATCGAATGGTTAGTTTTTTGTGTCATCCTTTGTCAAGCAACTGGCTTCCCAAAAGACCTACACTCCCCCATACTCCCCCCACCATCCCCCATCCTCAGATGCTTTGGGGCAGCTTCTTCCTCCGCAACAACACAGCCACTGGCCTCCCTCCACCGGCCTCCCTCCGCATCCCGAAAGGCCTCCGCTGGCGCACGAGCGCGGTGTCTGCCACCAGATCTCCAACGGAGTTGCCCCAGGCCAATACCGTGATGCCCAGCACCTAGGTGCTGCGATCTCGGAAATCGGTCGAGGTGGAAGGGCGGGAGATCTCCACGGCCGTTTTGGAGACGAAATCGAATGGGCCGATGTCCCCCGGTGTATCGAGTGTAGGAGCAAGCAGTGAGAGGAATCTGGAGGTTTGTTTTGCATTGTTTTGGCCCCTATGGTTCCAAAGCGGCCAAGCACGACTCTGAACACAAAAGAGCTTTGGCTGCGGCTCCTGTCGGGTGCCAGGATCAATCTCAGCGACTTCAGGGTTCAGGATTGATCGACTGAAACTCCCACATTTCTGCAACGCTAGCACCTTGACCGACTTCAACTTTGGTCAACTTAGTGGTTTCTGTGGTTCGTTCAATCCTTTTTCCTTTTCGTGTTTGGTTTCTCCTTGTCAATGACATTTGGAACTCTATGCTGACACCCGGAAGAACTCCATCAAATTAGACTTGGAAAATATTTGTAGGTGCCCTTGTGTCCCTACCAAACTCTCCGTGATCCTCGCTCTCGCGATTTGCTTCTTTGTTTTATAATCTTTGAGATCTCGTGCGGGCCTCAGAGTGTTCTGCAGAAAAAAGAAAGGTCCCTCAAAGCACAACTAGGCTCCAAAGAACTCACAGTGCCTTAGAAAGCTTCCCCATCCCACTCCATCCTTTTCAATCCAAATGTCTGAGGAGGAGATGCCCAGGTTCAGGCCAAAAGCCTCCAGCACGGCCACACATTCGTTGGCCAGGAAGTTGAACCAACTCACCGCCGAGCACATGGCCTGCCAGCGCGGAAGGAGCTAAGCTGCTAAGCTGCAGCGGGTGTGCCAGGTCACCGCGTGGTGTTTGGGATGGTGGGAGGATGGGAAAAGATGGGCAAAAGGGCATGGGCCATCACCGAACAGGTTGGTGATGCTAACCTTGCAAAACGATATCAAACTTGCAAACCCTATGTGTTCTTCATGCTGCTGATGGCCACCAAAAAACCCTGACCTCCCATGTCCCGTGCCCCTCTTCAGCCCAAGTGTCCCAGAGGAGCAGTGCAAGATGCCAGCGCGGCATGCGCGCTGGTGTGGAGAAGCGCAGCACGGCCACACCCAGTAACATCCCCACCAAGCCACACACCGCCCAGCCAGGCACTCCAACGCCCCCAGCACCGTTGGGAACAGCAAAGGCCTCAACGGAAGGAGCGGCAGAGAGCCGCCGTCTCCGGTGTGAGCGGCCGCTTTCGCCCTCAAAATCCCCAATGCAAGAGGGATTCCATGGGCGATTCAGAAAGCTTTGCATGTCATTGCGACATGCAAAGTCATCGATAGATAGTATATAATAATGTATATATAGAAAAAGAACATAGGGAAGATCCAAAACCAATGACATAGGCAATGTATGGCAATGTCCCCCTAGCAGCCTACTAGTTAGCCAATTTGCCCGTTTCAAGGGCAGTCTGCCTCTGGGGGTCTCACCATCTACCACGGTCTCCCGACTCTCCCGACCACCCACGGTGGTCGGATCGAAAGCGGTCGCCTCCCAGCCGCCAAAGGAGAGGATCATGAAGAGGCTCCCGCAGGTGGGGCACAGCGCCGCCAAGACCCTCCGCGGCCCGTTCCAGGCGGCCGACGGAATGCACACGTGCCTGCACGTACAGTAAGCGCACGTAGACGATGGACGGGGCGGCGAGTTGCCACGAGGCACATTGGTGAGAGGAAGCCAAGAGAAGATGGAGGGGATAGAGAGGTATCTACTCAGGTCGACCTTTACAGATCATATATAATTAATGTTGGATGCTGGTTAGTAAATGGTTCCGCAATAATGCTAAATTTTTCAAAAATTATTCATGACCCCATGTTTGAAAAATGGTTCCTGAATAATGCTAACTTTTTTGGTGGCCCTAATTTTTTTTATATTGAAACCTTTTATATTGAGGCCAATGATTATGATTCATTAGCTGATATAGCTTTCTCTAGGCTTCTTCAAAACTGACAGCTGACCAAAACCACCAATTCCCCAATTAAACCCTTTATAAAACATTGCTCCTAAACAAATTTTCAAGGTAGTAGACCAGGAAGGCACCTGATCCTCAATAACAAATTTGTTTTTGGGTCCTCAATTGTGAAAAGTTTTTTCCACTGGAAAAAATTGCTCATGGAATCTTCCTTTACTTAGGAAGCCATGGAAGCTGAGGAAGAAGCTCAAAGCTTGGGGCTTCTCTTGAGCTGAAGATCTGAGGCTGCAAAGCAAAAGGATTGTTGAGAACAATTACAAAGCACCTGAGAAAGGAAGCTGAATACTACAATCAATTACAAAAGGAATCCTCACATGAATCCAGATTTGTTTTGGTGGTAATTTATTATAGAGGGACCTCTATCTGTTTGAAGGGGGGGGGACCCCCCTTTACTAATCAGGATCGAACATTACCTGTTCAAACGCTATAGATACCGTTGCATAACGTTGCATACATACATCATTGTACATGTTCTTTCTTCTTGGGACGCGAATGCTCCACCTAGCTTTCTCCTGTTGGGGTCACTCTTGGCAAAGGGCTTTTCCGAGATCCGTCGCGCAGTGGGATCAGGGATCCCCGGGCCCCCCGAAGCGGCGCTTCACCACTCCTCGAACAGACCTGCAAAACCTGCTCTAAGAGACGTATAGCCAGCCAAATGCACACGCAAAGACATTTACTGTAGCAAATATGTCTGGAGGCCTCCAATCACAAATAGAAACTGCGTCCTGCAGATACTTTGTCAAACAGGAAACAGTATTGTGCATCATCTTGCTGGGAGTATTGTAGGCAAGATCTTCAGAAGTCTGGCTCCCAAGTCGCCTTGCCAGGGTAAATGGTAGCTCCATGGTCGTCAAGACCTCGGAAGCGTAAAGGCTTCCAGCTGCCATCACCTAACGAGCTATATACAAAATATCATACAACAGCTAGTTGCATATGTATACAGTACAGCATGTAGTCTACATTTACATTGATATATGATATATCTACACAGGAGCACGATACATGTTTACCATAATTAGTGTGTATAATACAGTATTATGCCCACTTGCAGACCAACCACATACTTAACATATGGCCTTTCCTCTCAAAGCAACTTCTGATGTTTTAGTAGACCAATGCCTGGACAAATGCCTTCCTGATGAGGGGCCTAAAAACCTTTCGGCGGGAGCATCAAACCCAGCTGGTTTATGTGAATGCGGCCCGCCACACCTTAGCCCCACACCAGACTCAAGTTCCCTTTGGCTTGTAGTCCGGCTAGCGCCATTGGCTCACTCACCTGCAAGAGCTCCAAGAGGTTAAGCAATTCGGAAATTCGGCTTACTAAGAACCGTCCCGGCCCTGGCTTACGATCCCCCAGTGGTCCCCATTCACCCCCCCCAAAAGAAACAACCAGAGGAAATCCAGACATCAACCTCAAAGTCTCGGTTTGCGCTCTTGCAATGTCTTCCCTGGCCAAGGCATCTGTTACGGATAGTCGGAGAACAATTCCAATGATCATCGCCATGCTCTTCCGAACCTCTTTGGGTCCATGTCAACCGAAGACCGGCGCCTGCAATCCACCCACATCTTCTGCTTCGGACTCCGAGGCCAAAGGCTGGAAGCTGTCTGAGGGGCTGTTGGGCTCCTAGCGCGGCAGCACCATCGACCCGACCGCGCGGTATGGCCTGAGCACCGGCTGCGCACTGAGCACCCCAGAAAGTGCGGCCCGTGCTGCGGCTGATGATCGGAATTCGTTGCAGAAAGCTTGGAAACAGTGTGCTGAACACTGCCATGCAAATATTCATACCACACCATTCACCAACGATAAACTTCCGTTTATCCCGTTTGCTTTCGTGTGCTACGTTCAACTTGAATTTTGAGGGCTGTTGGTTGTGGCCATTTCACATGGAAAGCAATGGAACACCGTGCCATGTCCCTTGCCCACATGGTGGTTGCTCAGCCCATTCCAAAGAATTTTGGATAGGATGATTGCGGTAGGGATCCACAAGGCGACAAGGGCAGCCGGGCAGCCCAAAGGTTCAAGAGATCTCCAGGAGTCCCTTGATGTTCCTCGTTCTGGTCACATCGAACGAGACTTTTGGTCCATCGCAGCGTCGCAGCCATGTTTTTGGGGGGACCGATTTGTCAGCGATCAGAGTGAGGAGTCCAAGCTCTAGGTGGTTTGGGTCCTGAGCCCTGGTGAAATACAACTGGCACATACTGGATGAAGCTGGACTGCCTGGGATGGTTGACGGAGGGCCATCAAGTTGATCCTCCGGAAGGGGCTCAGCAGTCAACGCTGTGTATTCCACTTTGTCACAGGCATGGACGCTACCCCTTGCCTTGCCATGAGACTCTCCTGGGAGCTTCGGCCATGTCTCACCGGACCGTTCCTCATTTCCCCACGTGACCGACGCGCGGCACACGTGATCGTGCCTCCAGTTCGATGTCCTCAGTGCTCGATGTGCGTGGGCTCAGCCGGGATGGAAGTAAGACCACCAGCAGGTAGACGCCATAGAGCGCAAAAAAGGCGAGCGACTCTACGAGACCTCAAAGGCCAAAACTCCACAGGTGTGAGGATCTTCGATTGAAAAGGACGCCTGGGCAGTCCAGAAACAGGAGCGTGCCTCTACCAGTCATCACTCAACAGAGGGCACAACATGTTGCTGAATCTCAAAACCAACTGGAAGGGCTACGAATGTCTACTGTGCTGCAACACGCCCGTGGGTGCTCAAAATTCAATCCGTCAAGTCAGTTCCCCAAACCCGCCACAAGGTGTTCTTGTCCAGCGACTGATCTGGCCGTCCCATGTCACAAAAACCATAAAGAAGACCACCAGCAAATACCTGAGAAATCAGATTTTTCTCGACAAGAGGCCGCAAGAGTGGACACAAATGGAGGTTCATCTTCCTTGTCACCCAGCCTGTGGTTTGTCCCCTTCAGGTTCGTCTGGACTTGCACAGCTCATAGCCGTGAAGCTACACGATGTTGGTTCTGTATTCACTTTGATATGCTTAAAAAGCACCTACCAGCCTACGAGTATTGTTGATGATCAGGTCTTCCAATTTTATGATGTTCCACAATGTTCCCGTAGCCAAACCCTCTGATGAACACAATGCACCCTTTCAGCGTAAGAAATATGGGAGATTGTGACCCCATGCAGTGGTGTCAAATCGGCATGCCCCATGTTCACAACCTTGCTCAACGAATTTATATATCTGGATTGGAGGTCACAACAGCATAAAGCTACACGGAACGGACTACGGAATGGCCGGTCACAAGTCTGTCTGCCCCTGTTTGGCACCACCGCGCCGTGCCCGCCACGTGAGAAAAAACCAGGGCAAAAAAAACCGAGCACGCCACCACAACGCCGTCTACAAAATCGCCACCGGAAAACGACACTTTTTTCGATGATGTTCCAAATGCAATGATCTCAATAGTTCAAACGGTACGTTCCTCCGAGGTGCATGGATGAATCGCGCAAGAATGGCCAGGCATCGACACTGGTGGCCCCCGGGGAGGCCAACAGCACACAGGCAAAGACAAAGACCTCGTCACTCGCAGGTGGTGGGATGTGGGGGGTCGTGGGGAAAAAGCCCCTGGTCCTCTGTGAAGAGAGTCCTCCGGGCTGCTCAAAAGGCTGCGATTGACTTTGGCATGAAGTTCGGTGTGCTAAGAATGGCCTCAAAGCCCGCGGAGAAAACAAGTGACAAAAGAGTATGGACAGAGCTCACTTCCCGAGATGCAACCCTTTTTGCTGAGATCTACAGCAGCAGTTTGGCTCAAAGAAAATTCCAGCACAACAAATTCCAGCGGCGATGATAAAGTTGGCCGCACCCAAGAACTCTCCCATTGTCAGCGCCAGGTCATTCGCCTACACGGGGCAGTCACATTCGCGTGCGGTTTGATCGGGTGCCTGAAGTCACTTGGGTCTCAAATCCACTCCAGTGTCATTGCATCGACTGTGAAGCGATTGAAAGCATTTTTGTGGGTTCCATGTAAGTGCTGTGTGTGTGTGTGTGAGGCACTCGGTCCTCCGGCCACCGACCCAACAAAAGCGCGCGTGTGTCCTGGCATCGTGGCCTTGTTGACTGAGCTGCATGCGGTCATCACATCGGGCATACCATTGCCCAGTGCCAACAAAGTCACACCAGCCACATCCTCCTGCACTTGCAGTGCGAAGCACTTGCAGTGCTAGGCATCTGGCCTCCCCCATTTCCCAAGATTCCCCAGAATGATACTATATGACATCATATTGACATCATCGGATAGGTCGCAAAAACTAACGAAAGTGTCCAAGCACAGCCCAAAAAACACCCATTTTGCTGTTCAGTCTTTTGGCTAAGTCTGGGGGCCGGGGCTCCCGATCTTCGACGCGAATTCTTCAGCAACAACCAAGAGATGACACGGACTTGCCGCCATTGGATATAACATGATACAACTATATGGCTCCGCGATGGCTCCTACAATTGGCATATGGTGCACTGCGCAAAATTGGGATCAGGTGTCATCGACATGAAGACTGCACCAAACTAGATAAACATAGGATGGTGAGTTTGTTTCTCGGAGCCACTGCTGAGAATTGAAAAGGCTGAATCGGCATGACTCGGCTTAATCCAAGATTTCATGCCCAACGCAGCTGGAAAAGCACACAGAGATATGGACCGTCACTCCATGGTGTGGAAGGTGCGAGTCAGCTTGGAACCACTTGGTCAAAAGCTCTTCCTCTGCAACAAGTGAACCAACCTGGGCGGGTCACCTCCTGAGGTAGGTTGCTCCTCCGAGAACTCCGAACGTCCAAAGGAATGACGGACCAAAGCCTCTTCTGTTGATTCAAACGCCGGACGAAGTCCGTGGCAAAGGCTGCAGCCTTCATCTTGACCTCGTGATCTTTCCCAACGCATGCACAGAATGAGGCCACATCGATAACAATCAACCGCGAGATCTCAGTGGCGATCAGGTTTCCCAAATAGAGCCATGGCGTCCACAGGCATGCCTCAGCCCAGATCTGTTCCATGCTTGTGTACGAGTAGGAGGAAGAATTGGTACTTGACAATGGCAGTATACATGTTCTAATCTAGGCAGGGCCTCATTTCTAAACCACATCGCGATGAAGGTGTTAAACAAATCAAGGCCCTGCCTCCGCCACCCAGATGTTCGAAAGCTGCCGGAGGGGAGCCGCGGACTCTCGACGATAGAAACACCCACCCTCGGCAACATAGAAGCACATGGTGGCCACTTCCCATGCACTGAAGATTGTATCGTCAAGGCCAAGAATGGAATGCTGCATGCCGGTCACAATCTCGCAAACCACTCGATTCGTGGCCTGGTCCTCTTCGTCAAGCAGCATCTGAAAGAATGCACTTCCTCGGAGGCATTGAGAGTGCCTTTGAAGCTGAAGCTCCTCTTGAAGAGGCTTTGATAGCATATCGAGCAACGGAACCGGACACTCCTTTGACATGGCCTTCTTCTTGACATCAAAGGAGTGCCGCAAGAAGCGAGTGATGCGGTGAGACAGATCTGGATCAATGCCATTGTGGGCCAAGTGCCTCTGAAGTAAAGTAAACTATTCAATCTCCTTAGCGAACCAAAGCGGTTGGCCTTCCTAATGTATCCCGTTTTGCTACTGATGATTTCCTCCCAGTCACTTGAACAAAGCCCTTGAAGAAGGTGTTTATTAAAAAAAAAATCATCCAGTCAGTCATCACCCAGTCTCCTCATTTTTCATTTTTTGAAGGGTTGCCAAGAGCGAGGTCATTGAGCTCACCATCGTGGAGAAGTTGATCAGCGCGAGAAAGGTGATGATGATCGAGAAGACTCCTTAGCTGACCGCACAAACTCTTTGCTGAACAAGGTGCAGGATCCTTGACAAGGACTAAATCGGGACGACCTGCATGACACTTCTTGGATAAGCTTCAACTCCAAGGACCTCTGGACCACTGGGATGGCTTTGCAACATCCACGCAGAATTGGATGGTGAAACCCTCCCACTCAACCAGACCTACCGGAGTACTACCATCGTGGCATTTTGTCACCCAGGCCACAAGCTCGCTCTGGCAGCTTGGGCCACGATCACCTATGTAGAACAGAAGTCAGTGTTGCAAATATTGTTTACATAGATGTTTGGAATCGGGTACCCCAGCTCATTTCCTTCCTCAAAACCACTTGATGTTGCTTAAAATTGCGTGTCATATCTTGCCATATGTGTTTTTTCTGCAAGTGTCGCTCGTTTAGATTGACTGCTTCAATCTCGCTCTGCCCGACACCAAGCTGGACACATGCCCAATGAAGGCCTCGGAACTTGGATTTGCTGATATGAGGAGCCTGCAAATATGCAATAAAATCGTTATGCATATACGGTATCTATATATATATATATATGTGATTACATGTGTATGTATGTGTGTATATATACATATATATATTTTTTTATGTGCAAATCATAACTGAGCTTCCCCATCAGGGGAGCCCTGAAGGGAGTGAACAAGAAAACAAAAATAACAAGCCGCCTAAGCAATAGACCAGGAGACTGGTGGCATATTGGAGACTGGGCGTTTTTCCCTTGAGTTGTAGCTGGTCGACCCACGTCGAGTCAGGATGATCTTCGCTTCCGATAAGGAACCACAAGCAAGCGATAATGTGAGTGGAAATGACCAATTGGACCACAATCTTCAGAACGCTATACTGCATGCTGGCCATTCTCGAACCAAATTGCTCCTGGATGAGTTGCATTGCTGAGCCAACCCTGACCACACGCCCAAGTCGCAAGAGCCCCAGAAAGCGCAAACTTCTAGGGAAGCCCACCGTGGCAGAAGACCACACATTTGCGGCGATGATTGCCCAATCAAAGCTCACAAGTGCCAGGTCGAAGAAGAACCAACCTCGAGCGTATTTTTGGATGGTGTTTCTCAACTCCATCACCAGGACCCCTGAGTCATCATAGCCTGTGATGAAGGACAGCGGAATGGACACATTCCAATAGAAGTGTGCAATCCAAAACATGACCGTCAAGAAGAAGGACTCACCAATGTCAAAGACGCGAAGTGGGACTGCGATTAAATCATATGCAAGCAAGATCATGCCCAAGCTATCCCACCAAGCTTTGAACCTACCACCAGGGCGTCGAAGTGCATGAAAGCAATCAAACCTGCCAGAGGGTTGGGTCAGGTGGTCCTGCAAAGGTGTTGAGGGCCTCCTATGTGCAAACACTGGTAGAAAGAAAGAAAGAAAGAAGTGAAAAGAAAGTGACATCGGTTTCTTGGGACACCAGGAGGTTCATTAGCTCTTTCCTGAAACCAGCCACATCCGGCCGGCCTTCGATTCCTTCGATGCACCACGCGTGGCTTCATGTCTTGCACACTCAAGGGCTTGCATGCTCGAACGCTCACACGTTGGAGCTGCTTGACTTCCCAGCTCATCGTCTCATCAGCCCAAAAGCCTCTCACATTCCATAGCACTTCTTGGGGCTCAACATCAAGCAACTCATTTCTGGAACTCCCTTTGACCTTTTCTCCTGTGCCACTGGACAACAGCAAGCTTTGGTCACGCTGTGGAAGCAAACACCTTTGGAGGTCTTTCTGGAAAGGTGCTGATCGCCACAACCCTGAATTGGCAGACTGTGGCACGTGCAGGGTTTCGGGCTGCTCGCTAGGCCAAGGGACTGAGGCTGAGTTTGCCCTTGGCCGGATCATGAGGTTTGTGGATGGCACACACGAATGGCTTCTGGCTGATTGGCTTCTCTCCGGGCTTCGCCCTAGAATGCCCAAATCGTACGAGTTCACCAAGCTCGAGAGCCTCTCCACTTCATCCTGCGGGCCAGGTCGTCCCCAAAACTAGCCCCCACTCAAGATATACAGTAGATGGAATGGCCTTGAGGTACCCAAATGGAAACATGTTCCTTGATGCCCCATGTTTGATTGACATCTCTTTCGCTCAATCTGGTGCTGGCTCAAATCTGCTCGTCTTGCCCCCCGGCCTGCATCAGCTTGTAGGACTCTCCTAGCTGCCGGTGCAGATCCCAAAACCTGCATTCTGCCATGGCCCCGGCCGCATCCCAGCGCCAGCCTTACACCGGCTCCGAGGGTATGCTGGACAGTAGGGCGAAAAAGGGTAGAAACTCGAGCCCACGGGGACAGTCCAAACACGCATCACGGGCAATTTCATATTGGATCATAATTATATATATTTTTTTTTTTTTGTAGAGAGGTACCCGCAATCATCAAGCGAAGTATGAAAACGGCTGGGAATGGCCTCCGGTCCAGTTCCACTTCCATCCACTTCCATGTCGAGTCGTTCACCGTCGCAGCGCGATCGCCCTGTCCCGCTTCCGACTCCTCGAGGCCGAGCCGTTCAGAGAGAGCCTCCAGTTGTGGCACGAAGTAGTCGTCGGCCGTGCTGGCCTGCAAGGCAGGGGTCGGTCGTGGCAGGGGACGTGACGGTTTTCTTCGGGGTGGGGACCTTGGATGACGGGCGCAAGTTAGGTGGTTTTCGACATGGTTCTACAGTTCTACCAGGTGCCCATGCGTAGTCGATTTTGGGGGAGCCAGTTTGACACGATGCAAGCAGATGCATACAATGAGCCGGAGGAGTAGAAGGTTCGCAAGCTCACTCTCCCACCAACTCTATTTCGAGATGAATTAATAAATACGGAAGTGACCAAAACAGCTGCCTATGTACAATTCTTCATCTTGCTTGACTCTATAGACTCTATAGACTCTAGACCCCTCCAGCTCTTCCTTACCTCGTCCTCGGGCAAGGCAAGGAACGTTTTCGGGCGACGGAAACGTAACCGCGACCCACCAGCATGCTGATCAGCAGGGCGAGCCAAAGCAGCAGGAAGCACACCTGCTCTGGGGATGCAAACCGGGTGAAAAAGGGAATCAATAAAATCCAATGAAATCCATGTTGGAAGGTTGGAAGGTTTAGGGGAAGCACTTCCGACTGTCGCACCAAACCTGCATCGTCTGCAGACATCTGAGAAGTTCCAAGGCCCTTCGTAAGCAAAATACTTGGTAGAAAAACATGGCCACCTGAGGCCCGTTGTCTGGACCCAGCGATTGGGTTTCGCTCGGGAAGTGTGCAATCTCTCTTGGCTCTGGCCTATGACGATTGCAACTTCATCAACAGCTGGGCGACATGCGGTACACTTTTGGTGTCCGGAGGAAAGAAATTCAGAGAGTCCGATCTTCTTGTGACAAGGGGTCCCACAGGAAAGAAATTGTCTTTCCCACCTCTTGTTGGGCATCTGACTCACGTCCTCCGGACAAACCGATGGGTTTGAAGTAGAAAGCCCGTCGTCCTCACACCAGCTCCAGTTGGCCCACCTTCACAGCTCCTGGCAAGAGCTCCGAGCAGCTGTAGAAGGACCTGAAATGCAGGAAAGAGGAACCAGCCCGGCTGGCGAAGGAAGCAACCGAAGTGGCCGAATGTCCCAAGAATTTGCTTCTGGGTTGTCCCATGTCCGCTGTCAGCTGTCTTGCCATGGCTTGCCTGTGTCGTCAGGTGTTGTCCATCAGGCTTGCCTGTGTTTACACCGGCTCAAAAAATTGCAAATCCAAACCAACTGGAGGCTCGTTTGGGCTACCTTTGGAGGGTGGCGTGGTAGGCTCAGATTCACGCATTTGATAGAATGGTTTGCATCCAACGCCTGATATGGTCAATGTGGCAATGCGGATATATAGCAACATCATGCAAAATCCATGGTTGCCGGCGAGGCACATGTAGTCAAACAACGCCTGGCTCGTTCAAAGAAGCTGCAAGCTATGAACATCGCCGGTTGGCGAAGCATCTTATCTGGATTGATTTTTCGGGTGACCTTTTGCTCATAGAAGGGTGACCTGGTACCACCACTCATGTGCGAAACACTGTCATTGAATGGTAACATCGCTGAGGTAGCTGACATGCGACATGTCGCAAGGCTTCTCCCTCCTCATGTCCCCCGTCTCGGCCCTCTTGGCTGAAACCGCGACCTTCAGAGCCCCTGCACCCCAGGTGGGAACACCGGTGGCAGCACCGGATGGTTCAATCCCAGTGGATCCAAAATGATCCAAACGCACTGAAACCGATGGGCTCCGGTCCCACGTCCCGTCTGCGCAGCCCCCAGCGGCGCCAACCGGACGGCACCGTGTCGGTCTGAGCCTGCGAGTCGCCCGCGGTACCGAGCCTCGCAGCGGTTCCATGTTCCAGCGATGCTCATGGGTCTCCAAGAATGAGGACTGAGGGGTGTTCGGCACCAACTAGCCAGCTTGCATGATGAGAATTGAGTCACCCCCCACCAAAAAAAAGAAACACTAAGGGAACATTTGCCAACTGACTGAGCGCATTTGGCTAGGCAATCTCCTACTTGAATCTATTTGGCACAAACTAAAAACTTGGCCTGGAAATATCATAATAACATATCACAACTAGGCCTGGAAGTCATGTACCCAAATGATCCGTCTTGGTGCAGCTCAGCTACCGCACTACGTGTGCCACGTGTGCCAGTGGACATTCTCCCTAAGACCGTGCTCTCCGCTCCATCTACGCCATCTAGTGTCAACTCTGGGAGCGCAACGCCCAACTCGCCGCCCAGCTCGGCCGAGCTGCTCGCATGGCTCACTATATCTGTAGCGAGTGAGCGCGGAGCCCAGGACCAGCAAGAGCCTCTAGTGGCACTTCTGGGGAGAAGTTTCACGAGATGGGCAAAGGCACAATGATGCACATGAGCAGTAGGTGAAAACGAAGACATGGCCTTGCGAACGCTCGTTTGATATCTCAAAGTGTCTCAAACATGTTGCCGTGGTTGGGACTAAATGCGCTGCGATTACTTTTCTTCCTGGAAGCCACATCCTCATGAATGTCCTCCTTTGGAGCCTCAATACTAATACACCCCTCTACCAAGCCAGAGGAGGGGCCTACGACTCCCTAAACCTCCTATCATTGCCGGGTAGAATGACTAGGTCACCCACACATCTCCCCTGGGTCGAACGTTTTGTTCAGCTGGGCACATGGGCAAGCCTGGCTTCGCTACACAGTATTGGAACGTGTTTCAAACAAATACCTAGGGACGCAAAGGTCTAGATGGTCTAGTTCTTCCTTCTACCAGTGACCAACGCCCCGTCATTCTGAGCCATGGCTATTTGATGGCTATTTGCAGCGCAGAGCTCCGGTTCAGTCCCTTCGTGGCGAGCAGCGTTGCTGCTGCACAAAGGCCTGAAATCCCACAAATGAGCACCTTCTGTGGCGAGCAGGCTCTGGCCATGGCAACTCGCATGTCTGCTATTGGGAATGCCTTCAAGGCAGGTTATGCTAATCATGGCAGGTTAGTTGATGGGTGGGGCATGCATCCTCTCAGTGTCAAAAAGGAGCACATTCTAGCCGGATTTGCCGGACAACTCTTACGTAAAACATCTTAAAACTGTGTGGCTCTCATTTGTGCAGGCATGGCTGAAATGTATGGGAGCCTTGATGACTGGCATGACTGGCGCAGGCTGGAGAGCCATTTTCAGCATGACTTCATCACCACATGCGCTCCAATCAACTACACCGAACACCGTGCAGAATGGCCGGCGAACACTGAGCCAGCTTGGCTTCGTGTCTCATAACTCTACCTCTCCTACGTCAGTCGTAAGAGCCCGGTCGTGGCAGCGGGCCAATCACAGGAGATATGGTCATGCATGGTCAAGGTCATTACAAAACCATGTTTCAACCATTATATACATGTCTTGAAGACAAACCAAATGAAGATACTTGCATGCACAAGGATATGCAGGGTCTAGCCTGTTTAAGTTGACTGGGTCTAAAGTGGTCTAAAAATGATGTTAGACCTTTTGCTCTCAGCACCCCTAGGTGCCCCAATCCTAGACTCTCAGTAGTTGAGGGTATGAATGTTCATGAAAGCTTCATCGACACGACGAGACCACAAGTGCAGCTGGTCTGTGTCTGATGACCTCATCCTCTCTGGGGATCCAGGCACCCAAATAGCTTCTCTTCTTCGGCACTCCAAAAGGGGTGGTTTCTGGCTTGCTTTCGAAGCATTGCCCCCCGTACCTGGTGAGCTCGAAAGCTGTGCGGGTCAGACATGTGAAGACATGCGGAAGACTGAAGACTATGGCTACTACTATGGCTAATTATTGGCTTTTGACCCACCCAAGGGCCCAAGGGGCGGTGCCAACCTAGGTCGGCTGGGAAGAGCTTTACCACGTCATCGAAAACCAAAGGTCGACATGTCAATCATGGCACGGCGGACCAGTACTCTTTGCCAAAGACCACGATTCCAGTGTGCCTCATAGCATGGGAACAAAACTGCCAGTGACATCCCGACTGGCATGCCTGTCTGGCCGAATTCGTGCAATAAGATCCATCACACTGAGCTCTTTCAAAAGGTGCCTTTATTCCCGTTCGACGTTGGCTCGGGAACCGCCGCTCTCGGATCTCGGTCTCGTTCAACCTTCTTCACATCCAAAAAGGCGCTCGGTCTCGATCAAAACCAATGGATGCTCCAAACCTCTCCCGGGGGAGCCGCACCAAATGCCCTCGACGGACTGGAACATGGCCACCTGAGAGCAAGAAAGAGGGACCTGGGGGCAGCAATGTCCATTCATAGATATATAACATAATTAATATATGTTAGTATATGCATGCCACATTTTTTGATTATGATGATATACGATGACATATAAATATATACATGATGGATGAATGAATGAATGAATGAATGAATGAATGATTAGTATGTCACTGAGAAGGAAAAATCGTGGCGTCTGGATGCGTCTGGTCACATGCGACGTTTTCTGTAAATACAGGTGCCTTGTTCTGTGCGAAACCTTCCTCAACTCCACTTGGAAGTTCCTTTGTTTCCTAACATGTCGTCACGTGGATGCTCGAGCACATGGGGCTACCTCGAGTGGGGCGTGTTTCAACAAGCAAGACCCTCCAGGCACAACAAGGCCACGCACCGGCTACCAGTACAAATCCGCATGATCCGCAGGCTACCAGTCATTTCCATGCCGCACATGACACCACCCACACGAGCAGGCGACCACTTGGCCACTTGGCCGTCGCCCACCGATGTGCCGCTGGGCTGCCGGTGCGGCCCAGGCCGCCAAGCCGTTGGAGATGTCGTACTGGTACAGCCAGACCTGGGAGGGTCTACAGCATCGACTTGCAGGACCCTGAACCTACATCCTGGAAAATTGACATAGAACTTGAAAAGCACTTGGCTGTAGAGGAAAATGGTCTTCCAAAGATCCATTTTCAGGTTCCATGTCCATCTTCCTGGGTGTAAACATCCCCAAACCCCCAAAAACACCTGGGTGGGGGTTAGTCACTAGTCAATTTTCGGGGGGGGGGGGGGCGGGGGCAAAACTGGATGCCTTTTCTCCCTGACAGATCGAGCCTCAAAAGCCTAGATCGGCACAGGGCCGAGAACGTGCCACCAAAAAAATGAAACACACACAGGGGTGTGTGTGTGTGTGTGTGTGTGTTTTTGAGAGGGCGACCCTGGACCGCAGGTGTCCTTTGATTTTCCGTGGTCGAAAGGAAGCAAATCGGTCCAACCGTTCCCAGTCGCAGGGCCCCAACAGAGACCTCCAAGGACCGGAGACCGAGCCTCCCTTCACGGTGAGACACGGGTGGACAACGGTCGCATCCCAAGTGTCTCAGACGGCCGAATCAGCTCCTAAGTCAGTTTTCCGGCTAAAGACTTTAGAGCTGACTACCAGTCCAACACATGGGCATGTCCTGCGTCAAAAGGGCATCAAGGGACACTTCCTTCGCTTCCTTAGTGTCTGCAGTTTTGGGAAGGTGAGCTGGCATGCTGTTGCATGCTGGGTGCCGTTGCTGTCTGGGCCGCTGTAAGTAGCGATGCCCACCGAGTGCCTTCAGGAAGGTGAATCCTAATGAATCCAAGGAACAAACATCCCCATTTAAATGCATCCCGCTTGGTGTCTATCCATGCAGGAACATCCAAAGAATCTTCACTGGAACCCGAGGTTCTAGAACTGGATGATGCTCACCCTGCCGAGTACAGCCGCGATGTTTTCACCTCTGGCCTCTTTGCCTTCAGATGGTCATCCATTGCGAGTGCTTAGTCGAGCTCCTTGTTCAACTGGAGCTCCCTGGTCGACCTATGAACTTCGTCACGGCACAACGACCATGCTCAGACGCAGGACATGCGCAGGACGCCCACCGACTTCTTGAGCAATGAGACAATCAGAGACTTGAGGCTCAAGACCAGCACACCATGGTCTCATCAACGACCTCGGCATGCAGCGATTCAGCTCTTGTGGCGCCACAGAGCTCCAAGCTGCACATGACCACAGCGCCGATAAAGACGATGTGATTCCCAACTGACCTGACACAGAAACTAATGCGATTAATTATGCAAATGTATTCTAACACAACTACAGGACTAGCAAGTCGTTCTTTCCACTTCCCCCCCCAAACTTTTATCGAACTGGGCTGTGCCTCCAAAAACAGGCCGCGCCTTCATGGTTGCGCTTTCTCTGCCTCCATCTTGGCCGCAGGTTTGTCAGGACTCCGAAGTGAATGTGGTGAGAGATCACACCTTGAACCACCACATCCAGTCAGGACCTTGGAGGCAAGGCGAAACCGAGGGATGTCGAGGCGAAACTCGAGGGTTGTCGAGGGAAGGCTGGCGGCTGGAGTCTAAATTTGACACGCTGACCCGTCATGGAGTCAAACGGTATATATATATATATATATGTGTGTGTGTGTGTAACTATGGATATGGTGTATCCGATCTGATCTGATCTGATCTGATCTGCAACCAAGTAACCTACTTCCAAGAATTTGCCCTGTGGAACACTTGCCAGCACTGTGCGAGTGTAGGCCGCAGTCTTGTAGAAATCATGGCCACAAAGAATGCCTCCTGGACGCACCTCTGATTGCTGTCAACAAAGCCATGCTGGTTTCAACCCTTCACCTGCATCCTCTTCATGACCTGACCAGTCATCGGATATCTACCCCCGTACAACCTGGCTCTTTCCGTTCTAACTCACCCCGTACTTCTTCCAATCCAAACCCATCCAAACCCCATTCTTGTTTCGGTCTCACCCAGCCACTGACCATCACTGACCTCTCCGGCCTTGGGGAGGAAGGCCAAGACATCGGCCTCCCGGTGATCGCCTCCGAAGCGCGGTCCACGGTCCACAGAGGGATGGGAGGACTGGGTGGAGCGGCTCGGAGGTCGACGGAGCGCTCCGCTCTTTGTATTGGCTCCCTTTTGAAGCAAGGACCATCAAGGACCCTTGGGGATCAGTATGCGCGAAGGCACAAGGATTTGGTGGGGCCAGTGCTCTTGTCTTTGTAAGACCCTGATTTTGAGTGGCAGCTTCGGGGCACTGCGACCCACATCCATGCTTCATGGTACTTGTGCAACTAGCCTTGCCATGCTTTGCCATCCCTGCAGTGTCCTGAGTCAACGAAGACCAGGTCGAAGGTAGAATCCGCCAAGAGCTTGGCAGCTTTCTGGCAGGTTGGCAGGTCCGTGACAAACGTGGTTGCTTCAGGTTTCTATGGAAGTGCATTCCACGAGCAGGTGGCCGACAGTCAACTTGCCACCACGCCACAGCATGGCCCAACCCAGCCAGCAATTAACCACCCTGAACAAGGCCACCCTCAACCACATCTGACCTTGAAAACTTGATCAACACATGCCACCTAACGACCTTTTTGAACCTTGGTCAACATGCCACTCATGGGCTCTCACCCTTTTGGGCTCTCCGCCTCCCCGGTCATCTGCAAGACCGCGACCCGATCGTTCCACGGCTCCAACGCGTGGCGCGCCAAGCTGGACCGCGGCGTCGGGCCGCCGAGGCCACGGCTGCCTGCGGCGCTCGGTCGGCCGATGTGGGCGTTGGACCAGGCCTGAAGCAACTTGGGCGATCGAACCGCCACAGTTTTTGGGGAATCTTGGTAGAAACCAGACTGGACTCGCATCATGAGAGCAAGTAAATGGTTTCACGATGTTTCACGGAATTTCTTCAGAAACACCCTTGAGCAAAGTTGGGCGCTGGCGGATGAAACTTGGGTGCCCTCCCAGTGATGAGCTCGTGGATGTTCATCCTTCGAACATCCGAGTGGGTCGTGACCCCACATCGCTGTACTTCGCCGTACTTCGCCTGCTCGGCCGCGGGAACTGCGGTTGTTCTCCTCCATCCAAGGATCAATAGTGATGACCTCGAAAGCTCAAGGATGAAATGGGAATGCTTTAAGGAGCACACCACCCGTGAATCCACCTGTTTGGGGGAGGGTAGGGTGAGTATGATTGGTCATCGGGCGCCATTGCTGCGGCTAAAGCAACCTCAATCCGCAATCCCCTTTCCTTCTCCCACAAATCGTATTGTCAAACATGAAAGCAAGCAGGCTGAAATTCGGCTGGAACAAGAAATTCCTGCCTCAGGCGCCACCAATGAAGCATGAGCAAAGCGACCGCCCGCTCAAAAAACGAGGCATGGCACAGCTTAAGGCTTAAGGACACAAAACCGTCTGAAATCACCCATCCCTAAATGGAGACCTTGAGGCGCCCAACGGCCCTTCAGCAACCGCTGGGAGTTCTTCAGCAAAGCTTTTGGACCTGTGGCTCGCCTCAAAACACCTCCAGTGGATTGGCGATTGTTTAAAGTTTAACTGCTAACTACTCATATTCTTATATAAAATGAATCGCCCAATTGCCCTGAAACCGCGTACCACCGCCCACATCGCCCATGTCACCTGCGCTTGCGGCACCGCTTGGAGGAGGTGGACAGTAAAGGCCGCTGAGGCCGTGCCCACCTCCACCATATAAAGCTCCTCAACGGTGGAGCGCGGACGTCCACCCCGCGAGCACCAAAGACGGGACCCGGAAACGGTGGGATGGTCGAGCACAATAACCTGGGGCGCGAAAAAGGACTGAAAAACACGATGAGAATTACTGGGTAAATTGGTGGAGTCCAAACCCTTGAGGTTGCAGGCACGATACCGAGAAAGGGAGGGTCGGATGATGGTACAGTAGAGCAAATTTAGGGGTTGAGTTCCTTCATTTGGAGCTGATGTCTGCAGTGGCGTCTATATATACAAGCTTATAACTTAACTTACACTATACATATATATACTATAAACTCATGCAAGACCAATTTTGCGACAGAAGCAGCGTGAGCATTCTCGTCTTTTGAAACGCCTCTTTCATTTCCTTCTTGGAGAGTTGGCTCGGAACGTGTGCATGGACGGGAGTCAAAATAAGCGACAGCCTGGCCTAAATAAATGTCCATTGCCCATTGTCAGCACAAATGGATATATGAACGAATTCTCAACATGTTTAAAGGGACCAGCTTCTTCAAAACCCTCAAGAACCGCACTCTTTCTCTCTCTCTCTCTCTCTCTCTATCACCTTGAAATCGAGGTCCAAAAACATGAAGAACCCAGGATGGTCAAAGAGCCGGGTTTTAGGCCTCTCCACGAAAGGTCCCCACCTCACGGACGGTGCAATCATCCATCACGGTCCTGCACTCCCCTGTCCCTGCGCTCTCCTGGCGCCCTGTCTGTTGGACTTCCGGCAGCAGCCGCCGGAGGAGCTCCGAGACGATGTCGTTGTGGTGCAGTCCTGAAGGTGGTCCGCGCGCCCAGAGCCCATGTTTCAGTAGATGAGTTACAGATAGTTACAGTATAGTAACATCCTTCCTGCTCATTAGAAACCTACAGTATTCGCATGGATTAGCTTGGGCAGGCCCGAACCAATGGCCTCGATTTTGGGGGTCGAACTGGCCTGCCTGCTTCAACAAACGCCCATGTAGCATCGTATAGCCATGAATCAATCATGGACGCATCATGGACACGGTCTTTAGTCGCTCGTCGCCTCTGGAAGCTGACTTCAAAGGCACATGTTTTCCTCCACAATCAATGCTGGTTCCCATGTTTTTGCTATCCAAAATCTAAAGTGGCCTCCTGAAAAAAAAGAGCTACCGGGTACCGACTTCATGTAGAATTGCATCTATCTGTTTAGGAATCCGCTTTGCATAGCGCATGGATGCGCATGGTTTCTCGTAAGACTCAGTTTCTTCCCCCTCTCTCTCGGAACCGATGTCCACGTTCACTGGCACCACCTGGCGCCCCATGAACAACCAAGGAGCCAAGCTCCAGCCGGTGCAGAACACCATGAGGCAGCTCTTCTGCTTGGGCGGCTTCCTGAGCCGCTCATGCTTGGCTCGATGGAGCGGCCGGGCTTAGGCTTAAACCCCATCCTGTGGGAGTCTACGGAGTTGTCTGAAGACTGGCACGGTGCGGTGCGTGGGCAGCCGGTGCGGAATCTCGGCTTTCGAGCTGCTTCATCCTAAACATGGTTTTGCCGCCACAGACTGGCAGGAATGAACAATGAACAGGTTTGTGTAGGCTCTTAGGCTTATGAAACTTATAATATGGAGATGCAAAGCCATTCTGGTCGGGGGGTTCACTCTCTCTCTCTCTCTCCCTCTCGCTCTCTGCTTTTACTCCCCGAAATAATCATGGAAGTGGAACAAATACATGAGTGCGCGGTTAATTTGTGATATTTTTTGATGTTTTCAAAAACATTGGAATAGAGCAGGTTTCTTATTAGCACCTAGCTAATTACAGCAATTTCGTGTCCTTAGCAGAGGCACAGGGTGTCGTAGCTGGCCAAATACATTGGAATAGTGCAGGTTTTATATTAATTGCTAGCTGATTAGACTAATTTGGGAGCTGTCGTAGCTGGCAAAATACATTGGAATAGTGTAGGTGTCTGAGAAATTCCTACCTACTATCACAACAGTTTGGTGCAGTTACCAGAGTAACAGTAAAGAGAAAGAGAACTAGCGAGTTTACCTTAAACTGATTTCGTGGCAGGCGCGGGTGTCGGAGATGAAGTGCAGATTTCGTGTTGGTGGGGCGCAGCGCCCCCCCCAAGCAGCACACCAGATCCAAAGGTTAGAAAGCAAACAAATGGAAAAGCAAAACCAAGAAGAGAAAGGAGAACAGCTGCCAAAGCAGACAAACAACAAAAGCAAAGAGCAGAAAGCCAAAACACAAAAAGCAGAAAAGCAACAAAAGCAAAAAAGCAGCATAAGCAGAAAAACAGAAAAAACAGAAAAGCAACAAAAGCAAAAAAACAGCAGAAGCAGAAAAGCAACAAAAGCAAAAAAGCAGAAATTATCCCGGCAAGAGACCCCAAACAGTGCGTGTGCGAGGTTTATAAGCAGAAAGTCTAGAGATCTAGACGCATTGGGGTCCAGAGAGGTGATGGTGGTGATGAAGGTGGAGATCGTGGCGACGGTGGCGGTGAGTGAGTGAGTGAGTGAGTGAGTGAGTGAGTGAGTGAGTGAGTGAGTGAGTGAGTGAGTGAGTGAGTGAGTGAGTGAGTGAGTGAGTGAGTGAGTGAGTGAGTGAGTGAGTGAGTGAGTGAGTGAGTGAGTGAGTGAGTGAGTGACCGACTGACTGAGTGACTGAGTGACTGAGTGACTGAGTGACTGAGTGA